ACGGAGAACGATTCGACCTCTCTCCTACTCTCGCTCCGATCGTTTCAACTTTCCGAACTTTCACCTATTTGCCTGTCCGATCTTCCGGTCGCGAACCCATCGCGATCTTTCCTAGATCTTTGTTTCTTCGCCCTTTTCGAATTCGCCGGATGAACGCGAAGGCATTTCACCTGCGAGCCACGGAGAAAACGTTATTAAATTATGGATTCTCGCCACGTTCCCTCAGTCTAACGAATTAATATGGAAATTTCGAAGCACCTTGCGAAATCCCAGGGGCACCCTTGGGACTGCCGCGCTACCACCGAGGGTGAGGAGATCGACTCGCATTGGCGTCGCTGCTCCAATTTTCGTTCTTCCTTCGTATTTCCTACTCCTTTTCTTTCTTCTTCTTTCGTTATCCCGTTTCGTCGGTTTTCTTCGTCTTTTTCGCGAATTTTTCGACGTCAGACGGACTCGACAGGTCGGTCTCTCTTTGTGGGCGCGAGTCGAGAATAGGGGCGGAAATTCGACGCCCATGACGATGGTTGGAGCGGTACGGTACGAGCGTACTAAAATGAAACGTATATTTGAGGTTAGGGCGGATCAGGGGTTGAGCCCCCGAGTCGTTTATATGGTGATTCAATGGGGGTGCTTGGCAAAATGTCAAGGGACTCGTAAGGGTAGCCCGAGTTTCCCAGCTCTTTCCCGGTCGTGTCGTTATACCAACGCCCGTTTCGCGCCCTCTCGCGAATCTCTGAAAACGACGTTTTTTTCTCTTGGATTTCTAATCGAAATATTTCAAGGCTGACTGTAGCCTACGAACCAGGTGGCGAGCTGCATCGATTTTCCTCGATATCGTTGCTGACTGAAATGCGAACGGCCGTATGCTTTAATCGGAGTGAAGCGGTTACCGTTTATTCGATATCTTTCTGCGAACCGTTATCGATACCGCCAACACCGTGCACCGCTGCAAATACGATAGCCACGTTCGATCGGTGAATCAATTGCACAACTTCCCAATAGGATTTAGGACCGGGCAGATAAAACGATCACACGTCCCCTTCCCGAGAACTTTTATTTCCGGCAGCGGTGGTAACAAACCACCTCCGTCGTGATCGCTAACAGAGAGATACCTCGATGTCCATCCGTGCCGGCGCGGCGACAGATGTTGATCTAACTGCGTGTGGCTGGCAACCCTTTGTAAAAGCTGCAATTTACACGCGCCTACCTCGCAGCCGAAAAATATGGGGAATGGGGTGGCGATGAGTGGTTTCTGCCGAAGAGAAATGGCCCGAGGAGGGGGCTGTGGGTGTTGGAGAGGGATGAGGGACGCGACCGATTGTTCGTTGCCAACCGTTCAGGAACAAAAGGGGTCTACCTAGGTCGAGGAAAGTAAACGCCTGCCGAAAATCCACCCCGTCCTTTCTTCCTCTTCTCTCGCGTACCAGATAGTTGGCATATCTGACTCGCCTCTCGACGTCGGAGGTAGACTAACGCGTCTTTTCTCTCCGGTTGGTGTTGTTCGGCGTTGCTCGGTGTAACGGACAGGTCGTTTCACTTTTACGATTCGCCACGGCAGTCTTTCCGGTATCGATTTTTCACGCGGAACTTGACTTCCCGTGACCGAGCCAACTACCACGGGTTAGAGGAGTCAGTGGCTTAAGCGGGGAAAGGTCAACCACGATCTGACACGAAGCCCGCTGGTTTCTACCTTTATTCCGACCCTTCTCTCTGTCTCGGGGGAGCGACGAAAATGCTCTTGCACGATAAAGAAAATTTACGGAAAACGAGGTATAGTTTATCCCGGGTTGAAAGACGACGACAGGTTGCGGCCTTTTCCCCAGCGTTTTTAATATCGAGCGACTGGTTAGCGCCGCTCCCTTCCGGAGCTTTCTTTCTCTTTCACCGTCCTCCATTTGCCGGCTATCCTCTTATACGGCGTACCCGCGTATATATCCTATCCCCGTTGCTTGCATCGAATGCGAGAATCTCGACGCCAGGCCGCGCCGCGCCGCGCCGCGCCGGTGTAATGCGCGCATATTGCTCGGAATTTACGACGCTAGAGAATTCAGTGGGACGTAAAGCCGCCGCGTACCTATGCTCCTCGAATTTCAATTCCACCCAACCTCCATCCAGGAATTTCGTTCGCGTTCGAGAATCGACCCCCTCCCTCCTTTCTTCTCTTATTTCGAACGATCCAAAAGGAATTTGGTTCGCGAAATCCGACCTGATAGGAGAATAAAGTTCGCGGCTGGAGTAGTAGTTAATTCGTTTTACGAGGTACGTTAAGAAGAAGACGCTGGCAGACGCGAAATTTCAAGGTTGGCCTCGGTGGAAAGGATCGCGCGCGGCTGGGTAACGAACGCTGCGGCCGCAGACTACTCGAAAGTTTGGCAGCCAACATCGCCGGAGAGGAAATATTCGCCCGCTCGATGGCTTTCTACCCAAGAGAAGGCCCTCGTGTTTTTCGCAAACGGGCAGAAATCCAGAAGAGGGACCATCGAGAGACCTCTCTCCACGTGCCTCCCTCCTTGTACACCCTCTTTCACGCATTGCTTGCTCTCGTCGCTGAATCTCGGATAATCATTTTGTCCACGGTTTTCAGTCCTTTTCCTTCTGTTTCAGTGAAATCGTCCTCGCGATTTATGCACGCGGCGAAACGATGCTCGTTTATCGCGAGGCGAAAATCGATAGACGCGATGCGCACGAGAGAAAAAGAACGCGGCTCTTTTCTGCGTCTGCCCGTCAGAATTTTGTTCGCGCGTTTATAAAACGGATGCCACCCTCCGCGTTACTTTATACGCCTCCTTCCTTTTTCTCCACGTGCGATAACACGGCAGTGTTCCCACCTGTTGTTTATCGTCTTTCGACCGAGGAAAATCCACGGCTAAGTGACCTCTCGTCTTTCTTTTTCTTTTTTCATTCCTTTTTAATCGATGGATTACTCGGTACGGTTCGATTTCACTACCTTTGACAATCTTTACGAGGTTTAATTTGCAACGTAAATGGATCGTCAACGCGACTTAAGTCTGTTGGATTCACCGGGGCAAAATTATTGTTCGCACGGTATTTCAGACGCGACAGAAATTACTTGGCTCGGGGACTGTTATCTGAAATTCCGGTCGCTCGGAATCCCGTAGCCGTTTAATCGGCGAAGAAGTACGCGAAACGATAGACGGGTTAATGGGAATCGGCTAATTAAACGATTACGCGATTCCTCTGGATTCAGAAGCTGAAAGCGAACCGGGAAGGGCCTTCGATTTTCCAGTCGACGGTGGTAAATCGGTTAGAGCGTCCCTCCCCCTTTATCCGTCGTAGCCGGTCTTTGGTATCGCGCGTAGGTTCTTCCGCAGGATGCTGGAACGGCCTGGATAGGGTGTAGTATACGCGTATAGTATAGTAGCGGGCTGGATTCAGGCTGTTCCTGTCTTAGTGGTGTGGCGTTACCATGGTAACAGACTGTAAGCCGCTTAACACCACCCTCTACACCCTTTCCACTCGCTGGAATCCTTGTGCTTCCGACGTCGAGTCAACCCACCCTGCTCTACGTCGTTTGCGTTCGCGTTCGCCGTCGCGAATGCCGTCGCTTCCCGTTTCGACACCCTCTCCCTCTCGGCTTCCCCGCCTAACCGCTGCTGGCCTATTCGTGCCAAACCGTACAAAGAACCGTCCACGCACGTTCGCCTCCTCTCCTAGCGGCTCCAACCAGAATCCTTTTCACCGAGCAATCTCGACGAACGTATCGCGGTATTAAACCTGTACTATCCCTTAAACAGCGAAGCTAGGATTCGATCGTCTTCCCCTTCGGATCGCGAGGTAGAAAGAAAGGTTATTAAGAAGACGAAGACAAAAACGACGAGCTGGAGGAGGAGCGTGGAGAGTACAGGGGATGAAAAGAAATGGCGTTCGGAGAGGGTGAATCGCAGGGAGAAGGAGGCGAGACGAAGCGACCGAGTGGTGCGTGGTTGAGGAGAGAAAAGGTGGTGAGGAGGTAGAGAAGAAGCGGAGGTGTGTGCGCTCTCCTGACGAGGAATTGAATGGAGGGTGAAAAGCATCCTCGGAATCACCGCGGAGAGAGAGCCTGCTTTCTCGTTTTAACCGGAGGACTTTTGCACACGCGCGCCACTCGGAGAGAGAAAGAGGATCGTCCGCCGTCCCAGACAAAGGACCACCCGGATGCCGACGTGTGTCCTAGCTGATCCTTGATTTACAAAAAGAACGAATTCGCGTTCCGTCGTCTTTTCGATAGAGATCGGGTTCTCTCCGCGAGATTCGTATCGTGCGCAAACAGCCTCCAAGATGAAAGAAACGTCGTTTCCCTCGTTTTCTGGAATCGCGAACAAGTAGGCAAGTTATCGATGTATGGTCGCGGTTGCCACCGACTGGTCGAAAATAATGAACGTCTGCGACGATAGAACGGTACTTAATTATCGCCCGCCTAATGCTTCCCTCCCACTTGTAGCTGTCGTCGTGATCTCGGTGAATTATGCATCGACTTTTTGAAGAAAAGCACTGGGATCAAAGGGGTCTCGAGACTGCAAGGTTGAGCTTAACGTCTCATTTGACCGGTTTAAACGAGCGGAAGATATTGGATAAGGTTGAAATATACGTCGATCTGTGCCTGGTCGTGGTAAAATACCGCGCCCGTTATCGTCGCGTTTCCCCGCTCTCGTTATCGCGAAAATTATATAAAGAAGTTGACTCACCAGCTAAACATTCTCCGTTCGAGGTCCAAGTTTATCGGCGGCGTTATTTATTTGCCCGCGATTACGGGGTAATTATAAAATACGCTAAGAGCGATGTTAACGTTAACAAATGCGCGATATAATTGCACGCGATTACGAACGTTGCGGGAACGTGCCGAAGGAAACCGAACGATACCCTAGTACGCGTATACCCTAGCCCGGTGAATCTGATAGGGAACCTTGGACCTGTTTCAGGTCTGCAGCCTGCCAGCACCAAAGCGCAACCGACCACGATCAGCAAATCTCACAGACCCAGTTCCGGCGTTTTACCTCAGGGTCATACCCCCGGACCAGGTCCAGGTGGTCAACAAAATAGCAGGAGTTTTGCCGCCGCTCTGCGGAATTTGGCTAAACAGGCAGGGCCGGCACCTCAGGAAGAAGAGCCTCGCGCCAGCCCTAAGAACCGAGCGCCGCCTCCTCTGGTCAGAGGTCCTTCCCCTGCCAAGGTGAGTAGCGGTCGCGACCCACCTCCTCCCGCACTTTTCAACGCTAAACGTTACTACGTCCAAGGACAAAGAAAAGTGAGAGGAACGTTTCTGTCGATAACCATCGTAGTATCGCGAAGGTATTGCATTTTAGGAACGGTCTACTCACGAGAGAAGACCAGAGGAGATTCCCTCGTTGTACACGACTGCGAGGCCCGCGGATACCAGCAAGCACAGCGTAACTGCCGCCGCTTCCGAATTGCTGGCCCGTTCCGGTTTCCAGCCGTACCGGCCCGAGCATCATCCGGCCCACGCTCCACCGGCTTTCGCCCTGGATCCTGCCGCCTACAGTCCTTATCACCACGGTCTCTACCCACCGCCACACCTCCAACACGCTTATAGGTAATGGTATAGCAGCCCCTAACCAGCTGCTGCTACTATCAAAGCATCGTCTTCTTTCCGACACGCAGGTTAGAGGAACAATTGTATTTGGAACGGTGTGGAATGCTGAGACCACCGTTATTTCCTGGGCTACCCTCGTATCCCTTGTACGGGTTAAGATACAGTCCAGACATGCTACCGCCCGCGTCCCTCGGACTGATGTCTCCCGTGATGCACGAGCGGTAAGTGTATCCGGAGGAAAGCGATTCACTTTTTCTCTCTTCCCGATATGCATACCTCCTTTACGAACGGCGATGCGATTCTCGTTTCAGACTGAAACTGGAGGAGGAGCACCGGCTGAGGCAAGCACGGGAACAAGCGGCACTCAGGGAGGAGGAGGAGAGGAGAAGAGCGGCACGAAATTCTGCCCCTACGGCCCCGGTACCCGCGCCTGCACCTGCATCCGCCGATACTGCAGGTGAGCGAGTCGCTCCACCCCCCACTGCCTTTCATTAAAAAGAAAGCATCGATTACGAGCGATCGCGAGACTTCTGTCCCGTCGCTTGTTACGCGCGGAAATAACCTTTCTTCTTTCTATTTCTTTCTCTATAGCTCTGTTTATTCTTTTACTCTTGCGAGCGTGTGTCCCCTCACGACGTGTGTCTTACAAACGCGACCGATCCTCTCTATCATCGTCATCGTCGACTCAAGTCTCGCCGCGTCCCCTTTTTTTCTTCTTTTTACATCCGTATTTCTTTTTCTTACTCTGTGTGTGTGTGCGGTCGCGATAGCGCACAACGCGTTTTCGTTTCGATCTTTTTCCGCTTTCTCCACCACTCTTCTTCTTCTTCTTCTTCTTCTTCTTCTTCTTCTACTTCTTCTTCTTCTTCTTCTTCTTCTTCTTCTTCTTCTTCTTCTTCTTCTACTACTTCTTCTTTCTTCCGACGACTAGAAAGTAATCCGTTCGCGTTGAAATTCGTTTCCAGTGGAGAGCGTGTCCATCCGTGAATAATCCATCCTTTCGTTCTTTCGTCTCGACGTTTCTTTTAGTTTTTAACAATCGGTGCCAAGCAAGCGATCGAACCCTCGACGATAGAGAACGTCGAGTTTATAACGCTAAGTCTGAACGATCTGTATTGCGAGCGACAGTTTACCGTGAAAAAGAACGGACGAAACTGGCGAAGCAACAAGCGAGGAGAAGTCGTTGTAGAATATATACCTGACTGTGAATGGAATCGAAACAAAACAGGAAACAAAAAAACAAACATACTACGCTTCTAATTTTAATCTAGATATAATCGAAGTTATAGTCGTAGCTAATCGTTTCTTATGATGGTAGAATCGATATTTTTTAGGCAAGCGTGTATAGCTCGATGGTCGAGTTGTTAAGCTTCACAGTTTATTCTTCGGTTTTTATTTTCTTCCATTTCGTTTTCTTATTCGCCGTCCCCCGCCCCGCCTTTTTTCCCCTTTCTTCTGATAAGTTTATTTTTTTCGTTCTCGCTTGAATCGAAATCAGAAAACAGTAACCGTTGGTCAGTCACGTAACGGTCTGTCAACCCTCGGGAGACCTCTGTTCGAACGCTTTGCAGTGAAACGAGAGAGAGAGAGAGAGAGAGAGAGAGAGAGAGAGAGAGAGAGGGAGAGAGAGAGAGTAAAAAAGAAAGTATCCTAGGATCGATCGAAAACGGTAACAAAATATGCAGTCGCATTTCCGTCACCCGATTTAGCCAATGATTTCGTTTACCTGTAGACCGAAGTCAGACTTATCGGCAACCTGCGACTATCCTCTGTTTATACTAGAAGAGTAAGTCTCGTATTCGAGGCATTATATGTTCCAGAGAATTTTTGTAGTGTTGGAATGAAACCTCTCACTCATGTACAATAACATGTTCGTTACATAGTTAATCGTTTTGTAGTTAGCAACCGTGTTTAACGGCGAAACTTCAACATAAGAGTGCACATCTTGTATGGAAAAGAACTTATCTTCGTTGTTGGTCGTTACGCTCGACTTTTGTTCGAAGGACGACGTTACATGGTTACGTAAACCTTCTTTTTCCCAAACTTTTTACACGTCCTTTTGTGCAAAGGAATCTTTTTCTTTTCGTAAATTCACTTTTCCATTCGCCTTTTCCGAACACGTATGTACAACGTGTGTGTTAAACGTGTAATTGTTACAATTTAAAACGACAATCGGTGGACGTTGGTCTCTCGTCGATATGTGTTCTTCCAATTTGTTCCCCCTTTTTTTTTTTTTCTTTCTCTCCTTTCACCGGCATTTTCCGTTTCTTTTTTTTATTTCTCGTCTCTGAAAGTGTAAGTGGGTAGACGATGACTGGCTGTACGAAACGTTTCGTATCGCCTTCCAAACTAAAACGAGCGTGTGGTACTTTTTTGCGCGAAACAATGAACGGAGGACAGAGTCTGTGCTAAATCGATCTAATTGCAAGCTTTTGTGTATCATTTTCCGAAGCGTAGTGCACTCTTGCGTTAGTTCCCGCAACTGTTTTAGAAATTTGCAATTAAACGATCAGTGTCAGAATGGTTTTTTCTTAATTGTAGTAAACATATTCTACCCATTATTGACTTGATCCACCGATGTATATAACTTTGTCACACATGTTCTTTTATCAAAATTATACCGTTTTTTATATAATTTATTATGTAAACATGTATATTTGGACTATAATTGAAAATAAACATTGCAAAAAAAAAACGTGATCAAAATTCTGATTGACTTGGAATTCTTGACCCTCGATTCATTTTCTGAAACAGTTTTGGGGAGGATTCAGCGAATCTCTATCATTTGAAAAAAAACGTTATCAGTTTTCTCACGCCGTTCGGTGATACGACGTTGTTGACCGCGAGCGTCCCAATAGCGAGCGAAATTATCTGATTTCATTGAAATTCTAACGGCAATCATCCCCAATACTTCCAACTGAATACATCAACCAGTTACTTCTTCTAACGACAGGATCGCTCAGGTAAGTTGAATCAGTCGGAACCGTTCGTTCGTAGCGTTTTATAGGGAACGCGCAACGCGCGCACAATCCTTCAAATTCATGCGTTCACTTGTCCGAAACATTTTTATTCCGATATATACGTTCAATTCCTCGAAAGATGCGTTTTTCCTTGAGGAACGTTTGCGGTGTATGCGACCCGTTCTATCTATCTATCTATCTATCTATCTATCCATCTATCCATCTATCTATCTATCTATCTATCTATCTATCTATCTATCTGTCTATCTGTCTATCTATCTATCTACCTATCTATCGATCTATCCATCTATCGTACGTACGTACGTACGTACTTACACTCGAGAATAAATACACGCGTATATGTATGTACACATACGTATCTCCGAAGAACGCTTCTCCTCGCGCACGAGTCCGACAGAGAATCAATGAAACGAAACGAATAGTAGAGTTGTCCGATATGCGTCGCGGAAAAAAGAAAAGAAATTTTTGAAAGCGATATCGAGAGTCCTATTACTAAATAGTAAGTCCACAAGAGTAGATCAGTGGAAGATTACCAAGCACTGTGTTCGGGATTTGTTCCAGCTAGGAAGCCGACCATAGCGGCTCAGATGCATAGCGACCGGGAGCGAGAACGCGAGAACAGAGATCGGGCAAGTGGAACCGGTAGCGGCGCTGGCAATACCAACAGCAACGTCACTGCCAACCAGAACAATAACAGTAGCGTTGGATCTGTCAGTAATAGTCACCATCAGTCGAGAAAAGAAGAGCAGTCTTCCACTTCAGCCCCTCCGGCAGCAGCAACAGCAGCAGCACAACAACCACCGCCACCACCGGTACCACCTGTACCACCAGCACCAACAGCACCGCCACCACCACCGCCACCACCGCAAACAGCAGCAGCAGCAGCAGCAGCACCGCCACCACCGCCGCAACAACCACCGCAACCACCGCCACCGCCATCGGCAGCTCCGACAGCATCGTCCGATCCAACGGCAACGGCCAACATCTACCATTCTCGTTTGCCACCGTTCCCAAATCAAACTGCTCCCATTGGACCACCGTCCCTGGGTTCGGCTTCTATCTGTTCCGTCAGCTCCGCGGCCATGCCTCCTCCTTTGGCTTCTACTTTGCCTCCCTTGAACCTTGGACCTCCGCCAGCCATAAGCTCCGCGCCTATCGGCCCTCCACCTATCCCTTCTATAGCCTCTATGTCATCCTTAACGCCGGCGGTAATAGGACCGCCGCCACCGCCTCCACCCCTAAGCATGCCTCTGGCGCCTATCATTTCTATACCTTCTCTCCATTTACCGCCCGTATCCTCGACTACCATTCATTCTAGTCAGCATACAGCTACGATAATGAGCAGCGCAACTACGGTTACGACTTCTATATACCATCAGCAGCAGCACCAACAGCAACAACAAGTGCAACAGCCACCGCCGCAACCGCTATCCGCGTCGTCGTCGCAACATCAACAACGCAACAGCAGCGTGAACGGTACAACGACAAGCAGCGGCACGATGACCACGCACGGAACACCTAACGCCGTTCCCTCGATTATCAATAGCGTAAATCATATGACTTTGACCCATAAATCGCCGCCCTTGTCTCACGGCGTTCATACCTCCAGAAGCAAAGACACCGGTTCGACGAACACCACCGTAAATGCTTCGAGCACGAGTACAACGATGACCACCGTAACCACAACCACGAGCACGTCGGTTACCTCGCAGCCGCCGGCTTTCGTCAGACCGTTCGAAGATTCGTTTCGCTCCTCGTCCAAGCCTCAGCAGCGACCGATCATAAACAGTCATAATCACAGTATAACCAACCAGCTTCCCTATCAGGAATCGCCGATAAAGTCACCCGTCACGACCACCTCGTGTCAAACGATGATCGTCGGCCAGATAATAGCCGATAATTCCATCGTGGACGCTACGAAAGGCACGAGTCTTCAGCAGTCGCTGTCACAGCCAATCCCGTATCCACCTCAACAGTTTCATCATCCTCACATACCTGTCTCGCATGTACCTAGTTTATACAAACCACCGCATTTCTCGTCGTCGTCCTCTCCTCATCAGCATCATTCTCAACCTAAGATAAACGTCCCGACGCTGACGACCACCAGCGCTATCGGTGGTAGCTCGAGCAATACCGCTAGTACCACCGTCACCAGTTCGAATTCCACGAAACAGAGCTCTCATCACGCCGGTGAATGCAATCAAGCGGCGGCGGCGGCGGCTGCAACGACAACGGCAACGACCACGACGACGTCACCGGCCGTGACAGTGGCTCAACGAAACGAAAATTCCTCGTCGAATGTTGTAAATTGCGTTTCCACGGAGAAAACGATGGGAAACGTGAGTTATAACAGTAACAATCTGCTCCCAGGTAACGGGAGCAAGATTGCGAATCACGCGAATTCGCATCACAAGAGTAGCACGGATCCATCGACGAAAGAGAGCAAAGTGAACTCTTCTTGTAACGAGAAGATGGATAATAATCACGCAGCGAAACAGTCAACGACGAATCATCTAGGAAAGAATTCGCTTCAAGAGAACAAACCGTTGGCTGGCCATCTAACTTACGAGCAACAAGGAAAGGGTCCACCACCCGCCTTTCAGCCTCTGAAATTTAATCTCGCCGAGAAAGAGATTAAGCCCGAGGTAGAGTCTAAGATGCAGAGCGATCAGAGTAACGTTTTGTCCACATTATCGTTTCAACCGAGTTTTAAGTTCAGTATAAACGATATCGCACAGAAGCCTATAGACACCACTCAGCTGATGCAGAGCATCAAGTCTGAGGAAGTTTTGCGTACCTGTCAGAACGTTTCCAACGTTCTCCTGCAGATACCAAAATACCAAGAGAAACTGTTGAATTTCTCCAACGAGCTGAAAACCGCATTTTGTTTCACCGACAAGTGCAATAATTTGACTGAGATTTCCGTGAAGTGCGAGCCAGCGGTGTTAAATGTGCCTGACCTGAGCAAGGCTCTAGTCAAACAAGATTGTACGGGCGAAAAGTCTTTTCTTGTACCTGAGAAGCCGAAAGAGTTGACGTCCTCGTTAGATCTAGCCGAGAGGAGAAGGAAAAGGAAACGGGAAAGGAATGCAGGTATCGCGTGTAGTTCCGATTCGGAAGGCGAAGAAGAGATGAGGGATGTGGATCTATGGATCACCAAGGGCCCGCCGGCCAAGTTACAATATTCGGACAAGAAGCTCGCTTTCCTCGCCATGTTCGGTCTAACTACTTTAAGTATGAGGAACGGTAAGAATTTAATTCTCTTTACTTATCTTCGTTCTCACTCTTTCAACCTTCTTTCCCTCTGTTTCCCCCTCCTGTAGAGATAGAACTTTGTAAAGTGGAGAAGAGGTTCAGGTTGAATCCAGATCCACCGGATGTACCTTTGGATACGGAACAAGTAGTCGAATCTGTATTACCAATACCGCGAGAACATCCGGACGTGTTACTTCATACGCCAGATTTCGAGCCGAAAGTTGGCTTTCTCAGGACTATAGGCCTCGATGTAATGCCTCCTGGCAGAAGAGACGGTGTGTATCGTGCTCGGTGTTGTTATCCTTGGCGTGTTCAATCTGGTTCAACGTCTTCTAAATGTCTTGGCTTGAAATTACAGAGGCAGAGGTAACGTGGCAATACGTTCTGCAGGACCGTAAGAAACGGAAGAGTACAAATTCCGTGACTGCCTACTGCGAAAGAATCGCCACCGCTTATTCGAAGAATCCGCCAACGTTGCCGAAACCACCGCAGAAGATGAGGCTTTTAGATAGAGTGAAAGTGAAGCAGGTTCCAGAACGGCCACCGCCTTTACCACCTTTGGTTCCGAACATCGTCTCGATGGGTTACCCAGCCTTGCCTATGCCCGGTGAGAACGGAATGAAGCAGCATTGCAAGGTCGTAGATATTAAGATCGTGGATGAGAACGCGGACGACCATGTTAGCGGGAAAGAGAGAAGACCGAAGTGGACCGGCATCGAGGACATCATGCTCGCCTACAGAGAATATTCCAAAGGTAAGAGCTCTGTTTCACAGGGTGTCGGAACTTATCCGACGACAGATCGATTCGTTCTCACGTCTCCTCTCCGCGATCCCCTCCTCCTTTGACTGTTCCAGGGAAGGCATTGGAGAAGAAAATTTTGACGAGCGAAACATCAAAATTGGTGGCACAGTCGAACAACCTACGTTCCGAAACTATTCAACTAGAGCGAAGAATATACGAACTCTTATCGGCGAGAACGGCTCTTGATTCGGAGAGGCGAGTGCTCGGTGAAAAAATTGAAAGGATCAACGCACTTGTTAGGAACCTTAGGTAGCGATGCGCAACGCACAACACGGAAACTCATTCATCTGTGATATTATCGAAGGGTTAAGGGTCGTTAGCACACAGTACCAAATATAAAATCTTAATGATACACTTAGGCAAGCGAAAACGAGATTCAGAGGGATGATTTATTGACCAAATGTACAGCAGCCTTTCGTATTGTTTTGCGATTAAATGTACACACACACACACACACACACACACACACACACACACACACACACACACACGGTGGTGTTATACAAAATGTAAACAAACGTTAATAGCGCAGCGACCGCAAGCGGCGTGACGATCGCCGCGAGGAGCACCTTTATATTTCGTAAACGAGGATCGTTGAAACGTCATTGCGACGAGAACAGTCATATCAACACAGTATGAGGAACACGTGTAAGAATGATTATTGTATAAAACAAAATTATACCGAAATATATACACTTCTTAGCTAACGGCTGAAGTGGCTAATAAAGATTTTATAGTTTTCAACTAACGGCTCTTAGACCCTAGACTATAAATAATTGTAATTTGTATCATAATATTTTAATGAAAAATAGACAAATCGTATAACTTATTTTATTCTGCGTAATGTGGACTCTATGTCAGATAATAACTTGAAACAATATGATATGTCACAATTTGTATATGAGTCGATCGTTAACATTACTGGTATAAAAGAGAAGGGGACACGTTCATCGAATCGGTTCAGTGATAATCGAAAAAAAGTTACTCCCATATATGTATATATATAGAGAGAGACTGTGACTTTCTTTTTCATTTTGCATCGTATAAAACGGGGGATAGTGTATATGTGAGCTCTGTGTTGACGAAAATTTTCGAACGCATTCGAACCAGAAACCACAGGCTGCGATTACGATGAGAATCCGGATACAAAAAGAGAAGAAAAAAAAAAAACAAAGGTCGAAACTGTAGAGAACCGTAACGATCATTTTTAACGTAAAGAAAAAATGTTTCGAGATAGAAGTAACTCTAGTCTACGGACATTCGTAGAAATACAGGAAAATCACGTCTGATTCCAAGAAATCAGAATAGTGACCGATCCTTCCTTTCGATGTCCACTGTTCACAATAATGAACGCAAAGGCCAGTGAATACAAGAGAAATTAATGTCTCAACAGCAGTGAGGTACTTACGTAGGTAAAGTGACTTAATTTAAATGAAAACGTGAGACATCGCGCGAGCACATTCCATACGAAAACATGCTTGTTACCCGACCTCCAACATTCCACGTTCGAACAGTAATCGGATCGCAAACAACATTAAAAAGAGGCGAATAAAATTCGTTTTGTTACAAAAGTTTTTTTTCTTTTTTTCTTATTTATTTATTTTTTTTTTCCTTTTTTTTTGTTGTTACGTTCAACTAAATCGGCGCTATACTAATTTTTTTTTTTTTAGTATCCTTGCATTTGTATCTCACTCTGCTCTCTGAGTGTATCGTTCAATTATACATGGCAACACCTCCAATAAGTATAATACGAAAACCATTTATAATTTCACCGTTTTGTTCATTGAGTGCCTAACGTTATCCTACATTTGTAAATATCATTATTTTTATGCATTGTATAACAAAAAAAAGGCCGCAAATTATTTGTCGGTCTTGATCTGGCCAAAACAAGAGCCTAGGAGTAAATTGTTGAAAATATGAATTTTCCGAGTATATTTATTCCTACTCCCCTCTTCCGTACAGTTGTAAGAAATTCTTTTACTCGCGATCGATAATCGACTATAACCCACGTAGTGTGTTTATATTTTCATGGACTTCGAATTTGTCGTTACATGTTTGTTTGACCGTTGGAATAATTAAGAAAACTAGTTTTTTTCGTTATCGCCGCCCTCTGTGTACTGAAACTCGTTTGTTTGTTTTCCATAGGCTGTGCAATTGGTGACAATGACGATTTGTTACAAAAAAGAAAAGTATAAGCAATGGAGAAGCGTTAGATAATCGTTAATCGAATCATTTAGTCCAGAAAAAATAATATTTCCTCTTCTACGTACAATTTTGCTCGTCAATTATCATCTGAAAAGGGGTATTAATGATATTAATAAACAATTCGTTGATTCATCTAGGGATTTTGGTGTTAGGCTGGCGGCGCCACAAGTATCGTTAAGGTAGAGGTAGCGTTCCCGCGCAAACGAGCACCGACCTAACTGTCGCCGCCAAAATATCTGACGTACATACGCATAACCGTCGTCGAGCAGGCTAGAGGTTCATTCGCTATTTGATATTCCGAGGGGAAGCATCTTCCGTTACTTGTGTTTAAGGAAAGTTTTCAGGAAAAATTGTAAAAAATGTCAGGACGTGGTAAAGGTGGTAAGTATCGCGTTCCTTTTGCCGCAATATGATGCTGTGAACTATTGAAGAACACGAAAACCATTTATACGTGTTCTTTCAGGAAAGACCAAGGGAAAGGCGAAGACCCGCAGTAGTAGGGCAGGGCTGCAATTCCCAGTCGGAAGAATCCATCGTCTTCTGAGAAAAGGAAATTACGCAGAACGAGTTGGAGCTGGAGCACCGGTTTATTTGGCTGCTGTAATGGAATATTTGGCCGCTGAAGTACTCGAGTTAGCCGGGAACGCCGCAAGAGACAACAAGAAGACGAGGTTGGTAGAGCAAGCCCTCTCTCTCTCTCTCTCACTCTCTCTTTCTCCCTCACTCTTTTATTCCGTCTGCACCCTCTAACTTTTCTCCGTATTGTTACAAATAGTTAATTTTTTCACGCGTCTATATATACGTTACCTGCCGCTGTACAAAAAAATGATATTTCATCGTTAGATCTGAACATACTGTTGCAAATTCGTTAAATCGTTATCTCTCCATTATTAGTATTTGTTGTTGTATGTTATTTCAAGGATAAAAGAAATGAAATATATTTGTATACATTGAGGGTTAAGCAATGACCTTTGAACATTATATGGATTTTGAAGTATGTACTCTAAACATATCTTATGCACTCGTTTCAGGATAATTCCACGTCATTTACAATTAGCTATCCGCAATGATGAAGAATTAAATAAATTGCTCTCGGGTGTAACCATCGCTCAAGGTGGTGTCCTGCCTAACATTCAAGCAGTACTTTTGCCGAAGAAAACTGGTACTGGTGGATCAGGGAAAGGAGACAAAGCATCCCAAGAATATTAATAATCTTTAGAATAACCTTTCTAACTTAACAGTACTTTAGGGCTACACCTTCGTTTCTTCAGCCATGAAAAAAAAAAAAAAAAAGAAAAGAAAGTAATGTCTAGAACCTATCAAATTACAATCACTATTCCAATAATATACATTATGAAATTATCTTAGTTAACAATGCGATGTACTGTTTCACCGTTGAAACGTTTATTGCTGAACATTCATTTGGCTAATATAGTAGTAGATATTGCGCGAGGATTGTATCAATCTGCACATCGTCATCTGTTCGACTCTGGGCACTTCTTCGATGTACCGTAGGCTCAACCCGCAGGAGACTGTGAAGTTGACGGCTCTTTTGGAAGAGTCCCTACAGTAGTCAACTGGACCGAAAGATCGTCAACCTGTCTGCTTAACACTCTCGCCTCTTTAGCTAAAATTTCACTTCCACAGTCTTCTTGGGGCTTAATTTTGTTCGATCATTGAATCTGCAGTTTTCTCAAGCCATGTGACTATTTTTGATTCCATTAGAGAGAGAAAGTTCTGACCATTTGTTATTAACTGTATCAACCAAGGACGAAGAAACCGCTTCTCGGTGTACGGCCATGGCGCCTCAACATTCTTAATTCGTTCAATATCTTTCGGGGCGCATTGATAATTTAAGCAGCTGATAACCGAAGATGATACTTAATTGGAAGGTGTTTACTAAGAATATTAGAAAGGGGGGGATTCAACTGAAGGTGTGTTGTTAACCTTTGTGGACTGAACTTTCTCTCCTCTCTGTTCCTTGTTTTTCAGAATATATATATTTCATTTTTTTCAAATTGCCTTTTAATCATTTCTGATACCATAGTTTCGAAAATATGTTACTTGTATTGAATTTTAGATAAGCAGGGTTTCCAGAACTCAAATAGAGAACTTTAGAATGAGCAAGGAGAGTGTTATCCTGACACACCCCTAAACCCTCGACCAATGCTGCCCAATCTATAGCTCTATTATGAGTGAAATGTTTTTTCTTAAGATCTTAACGCAAATTAAGGTAAAGTTTAACGATTCCGTTGACTGGTTTCTTTGTCATCGTCATCTAGAGGCGAATTGAAAAATTATTGGGAATTTTTTCCAAGTTATAATTCGTGACTGTTCCTCGCTAATGTAACAGTATATTGCATTATTACTTAAGATATGTTTTTAATGTGTACCTATGCTTGAGTTTCATTACTTAAGTATTCATTTCTATTAATGTACTCGTTTTGTTTTGTTTCACCTAAATCTGTATTAAATTCCCAATGATATTTTATGAACTATGAGAACGAATGAAAACTACAGTGTATTAAATGTTTTTGTTGACTGTAAACAATATTTAGAGTGAAAATAAACCATCATTACACTTCACTTTATAATGCTTCTTTGGAAATCTAGATCTTTTCATTGTACCTGTGCCTTTTGAATTATCTTCGAGTGGTGCGAATAAATGTTTATACGTTTAAATGTGACAATTTCACTTTAAAAATTCAAGTGCATGCGACTTCCGGTAAAGTAACTCCGCCAGTAAGATTTTGCAACGTACAGATTGATATAGGTAGCGCGTCGGTTCAACGTGACGTTAAGTTTTTTGATCGCTCGCTTGCTTGCTCGATACTGTTTCATTACTGAAATATTCGTTAAGCTTTGAAAATATAAAGTAAAAAATGTCGTCGAGTGAAATAAATATGCTGATCGATATGGGTTTCAGCGAGTCTAAAGCGTAAGGGTTTTAAGTGACTCGTTAATCGATATGTCTAACCTTTAATATTTTGAATGGTACGAGAAAGGCCGTGGCTTCATTCTCGTCGTCCGATGACGATCTTAATTTTTATTTTAGGCTCTTGGCTCATTCAGATGATGCTGAACCATCATCTGAACCACCTATCGCTGAAAGTGCACCCGCATCTATTGTTCAAACACCAGACCAAGAAGACACTGCTGATGCTGGTGGTCAAGTATCTACTACTGAGATTGCTAAATCTATGAAGTGTGATATGTAAGCATAATATCTGTATATATATATGTAGGTAGTTGCCTGTATATATCCTATTTGCTTTAATTCACAGTTTAATATGTATTTGTAGTTGTGGAAAATTATTTAAATCTAATTTGGAAGTTGAAATTCATGCAACAAAGTCTGGACACGATAGGTTTTCTGAGAGCACAGAGGAGAAAAAACCCCTTACAGAGGAGGAAAAGAGAGAACAATTACGAATATTGACAGAAAAGCTGAGACAAAAGAATAAAGAGCGGGATGAACAAGAAAAGAAAGATGCACAAGAAAGGGAGAAAAATAGAATAAAATCAGGAAAAGAAATGGCTCAAGCTAGAAGAAGGTAAGCTGTGTTTCTTTTCAGTGAAAGGGGAATTTGTATTCACCGAGTCTACTTCAATCACAGATTGGAGGAGTTGGAAATGAAAAAGATACTGGAGGAAAGGAAACGCGAGAAAGAAGAAGAGAAACAAGCCCGGCAAAGAGTTAGAGAACAAATTGAAGCTGATAAGGCTGCTAGACGTGCTAAAGCTAATGTTGATAAAGTGCCAACAGAACCTCCTCCTGTGCCTCTATCACCATGTACCACTCCTTCTAAGAAAGAATATAACGAAACGAAATTACATGTAATGACATATATATGTACATGTATTGCTACTTTCAATGTGTGAATGATTTAACAATATTTAACATTTTAGATTAGGCTCACTAATGGAGAGACTTTAACACAGAATTTTGGTAGTAAGGAACAATTGTCTGCTGTGAGATTGTTTATTGAACTTAATAGGACAGATGCACCAGATTCATTTAACTTAATGACAAATTTCCCAAAGAAAATCTTTACTGAAGATGACTATGAAACTCCACTAAATGTTTTAGGTATGCTGTTAGAGATTATAATATTACTTGGTATTGTATTTGTTTTATTGAAATGTTTCCCAGTATTCCTATATTTGAAACTAGGAAATCCAGTCGTTTCAATACTATGATTATATTTTCAGGCCTAGTACCATCTGCAGTTTTAATTGTGCAGAGGAAAGTGGAATGAACGTCGTAAATATCAACTATTATTTGCCATGCAATCAGTAATAACAATTTCTAAGCTAATATGTCATTGTAAAATATTCTGCAAATTGTTTATGAAAAAGGCAGCATTTTAAAACGTCTCTTATTATAAAACATTTTCCATTTGTAATTAATGCAGGTGAAACGAAAAATATACATTTAAAAATACTGAGAAATTTATATCAAATTTTTAATCCATTCAAGGGTATGTAACAGACGTTACGGCACATGTTACTTTACAGTTTTAATTTAGTTCATACCATCGTCATACTTGTACTACATTGTACAATTGCGGTACTTCACCTGGATATGTTACACGTTCCGAGGTATCGCAATTCGTCGGATATCCGTAAACTCCGTCACAATTGATTAATCCTAATGTTTTATCCAAACATATTCGTACCTCGAGTATATACGATTCTCCAGTATTCTAAAATAATTTCGACGTTAAATTTATTAGAATATAAATATTAATATGATAAGATAAGTAAAGAAATCCTTACATGATTTTTCCTACATATCACTACACCCCTTTTGCCTAATACTTGTTCAATGGCGTTCAGAAGAGTCGTCGCATCATATTTTCGGCCAGGTAAAATATTAGCTTTCGCTAATACGTTCTTCATGTCGTACTTTACCAGCAAATTAATACCTTCGCTGAAATATTTCACTTCCGTGTCTAATTGTTTCAGCTGTGCCGCACAAGTACCGTGTTTGTTCCATTCATGTTCCCAAAGGGAGTACGATTGCCTTCCGTATTCTACATCTATCCATTTTTCTTGTAATTCGGATTGTATTGTGTTTAAAGCTTTCGGGTCAAACGGTCTCGACTTATCACAAAATTGTGGACCCAGTTTATGGTACTGGGACGGCCAAATACCATGGATCGTCCACTCATCGCGGTCTTTTGGAAATGAACATGTATGCGCTGTCGAACTTTCTTTCCACGTGAAGCAAACAGTTTTAGGCCAGCTTTGTGTGAAAATTAAGACGTCGAAGTCCTTCGATGCCGACCCGCGTCTCCAGTAATCTTCTTCCCTATAAAAACGATTCTTTATATCGATGTAATTCTTAAGAGTATATCGTGAAGATACATGTAACAAATTTATTATTCACCCATTCACATTTGCGATCACAAAGAAAAGTAAAGTATGAATAATTATCGCACGATTGAACATGTTTGGAAAATTCAAACTTTTGTAGACAAAGAAAATCTGAATTGGAGCACGTTCAATGACTGCCACTCGTTTCAACGGACCTTCTTCCTCGCGCTTGCTTTTATCAGTGTCACCCCACCATACCTACTTTTTTGCCTTCTCAGCATGTATTAAATTATTTGAACATCTGTAGCTTTTACTAAACTATTAACAATAAAAAGTTTGAATTGCCTTTATTAATGATATGGTATCGACAATTATCTCTATTGATAGTTACGTAAGATAAAGAAGTAGAGCATAAAGTGCATCGGTAATCTTCGATTTTTCCGCTGCGTACATATGTTTCACAGCATATCTTTACGAGGCAATTAACAACAGTAATAGTTTTCATCTTTCATTTCTATTCTTGGAAATGTACTTCCTATTTACTGTAGCGTACTGTTAGGCGGCAATGAACACGAACTTTCAAACATTTCCTTTATTCTATAGAAAAATATAACATTTTTATTCTTATACTTTTTAGTATTGGTTAGGATTTTATGTTTATCTATAAATAAAGTTTATACTTGAATACCTCGACACCTGATGTGTTTCATATTGCATAAGCTTCGTTACTTTCACCGAGTACATTTCATGTTGCTTATCTGCTTTTATTTGATAAACAGAACATTATATACTTTGTTTAATGTCCAAGTATGTGTATTAATTTAAAGAAATATCTTATCAATGTAGATAATGTTTTAAATTAGATCACAGACGAGATACAGAGTAGACCTATTATCTTATGGGATTTTATTGCTATCACGTCTACATACTTATTTATCTGTATGATATAAAGCTGTGAGCTTAGGATTTATAGACAATCCAACCATCGATGATGGTAAAGTCGACAGATGTAAAAAGACTTGGTTTGTTAAATCTACATGTAAAGATACATACATTTATCGGATTGCCTGGTTAGAACTGTTTACAATCTTTTCTGTTGTCAGCAGTAGAACACCCGGATGCAATGATTCATCTACTAATAAACAATTACGTTACCTTTTTATTAGTAGTTCCGTAGTCGCGTTTAATTGTAATTCCAACCACTACTACTGTTGTAATCTTATTCTATGCTGAATCGGTAACGTTGGAAACGACAAGAAAGTGGTAAGGGTCTTCCCGGCCCTCGTGCCGCGGACATAAAGTCCCATAAGATGTTAGGTCTATCCTGTACGTTGTCTGTGATTCCATTGTAAGTTGTAAGATATTGAAAATTCATAATTTTGATTATTAAAAAAAATTTTTCCTAATTCAATGTGTAGTAGAGTGATTAATGCAGAATTTTTTGGTTGATCTGTGTGATTAATTTTGGTGTAATTCTCACTGGAATATGGTAAAGTACCATTAGAAGTCATGCCTACCACAGAAGATATCTCGTCGTAGTATTCAGCAATACAGAAATGAGTAAGACACAAGGAAAAGAAAAGGGGTAGATATGGAGAGAGAAAATGGTGGGCGAACCTAATGTCATGTCGTGTTTGGTGTCGCGAAATACGACTTTTTAATAGGAATACAGAATATAAACAGAGATATTAGACAAGGAACGCAATAGTGTGCGAGAAGGACAGAGAGAAACCGTTTCCTATTGGCTGGCGGGCACCCACGCTCCACCTCCCACGGGTTCAATCAAGTGGGCTTGAATTTGTGAACTTTTAGATTTGAAGAATGAAGTGTGGACCTTTGGCAACTTTCTCACATAAATTTTAATACACTAGACCCTTTCGATAATTAGTTATAAACAATTTTAGTACATCGCACATCGTTCCCGTAGCCTTGCACAGATAATTTATGCAGTTTCATGTACGCGTTCAAAAGGCTATTCTCTTAGGTTAGTTTCTCCATTAATTTTCATTAACATATCTGTCATAGTTTTCGAGATATTAAACATTATTTGGGTAAGTACTACACACGTCGCATTCAAGCGTAACACTTTTCCGTAATTTTCATTAATAACTCAATAATTACGATAATTTTGTAGGATAAAGAAAGAAAAATAATATCATACAGAAAGGTTTATTAGAATGCACATCCGTCTACGTCTCAATTTTTACTTCGACTGACTCACTGCGTTTCTTCCCCCGCCCTTCCCACATCCACGCTCCCTTCCCTTCTGCGCCGCGCGCAACAGAACGCGTCTCGACCTGTCTCGACCTGTCTCGACTCGTCTCGACCTGTCTCGACCTGTCTCGACTCGCCTCGACCTGTCTCGACCTGTCTCGACTCGTCTCGACCTGTCTCGACCTGTCTCGACACGTCTCGACCTGTCGCTGAAACTTCTCGAATCCCACAATTTTGTGAACTTGTAGAATTGAAGAATAAAGTATGGACCTTCGGTAACTTTCTCATATTGCTTTTAGCGCACTAACCCTATAATTAAATATTAACAATTTTAGTACGCGATGTCGGAACGATACCGCATACTATTACGGTTTTTCAATAATTTCATAGCTTTCTACTAAATTGTCATGCAACTAACTGTATGCATCTGAAAGGCAACTCGGTTATCTACTTTCTTGTATAATTCGTATCAACATATTCGGTCTAGTTTAAGAGTTATTAAACATTATAGGGGAGAGTCTCCTATTCATCGTACTCGTATATTGTCAACTGTTATAAGTAATTGCCAATATCTAAAAAACCACACCACTTACGGCTATAAAACTATTTGCAGAATATAGACAAAAGTCCATTCTACATTCTGCATGCTTCAAAGTGCATAATTAGTTAGGCATTTCTATGGAAATAACGAAAATGTGTTACGATGGAATGAGAAGGCTGTAACACTCGCAGAAAGAATGTTCAATAACTGTCAAACTACAAGGGATATGTTAATGAAAATTATAGAAGAATGTAGCTAAGGGAGTTGCCTTTCACACGCATATAGTTACTTGCATGAGAATTGAGCAGAAAGCTATGTAGTTATTGAGAAACCGTAAAGGAACGCGGTATTGTTCTCGACATCACGTACTGAAATTGTTAATAATTAATTATCGAAAGGGTTTGGTGCATTAAAAACTATATGTGAAAGTTACCGAAGGCCCACACTTCATTCTTCAATTCTAAAAGTTCGCAATATCGTCGTAATTATCGAGTTATTAATGACTTTTCCCTGGCCGACATGATGTCGCCTTCAGAAGGTAGAGCTATGGCGGCCCCCAGCCAATAGGAAACGTTTTCTCTCTATCCTTCTCGCACACTAGCGCGTTCCTTGTCTAATACCTCTGTCGATACTCTGTGTTCCTATTAAAAAGTCGTAGTTCCCGTCACCAAATCCAAGATGGCGGCGGTCTCTAGTTCTGTCCTTGTCTATCCCTATTGCTTTCCTTGTCTAATACTGCTCACTATTGCCCTCTTTGTCTACCACTATTCCTTTCCTTGTCTAACTCATTTCTCTAGTGCTATCCTCGTTATCCCTATTATGTGTAATAGATACTAAGCACTTATAATCAATTTTGAATTGCTTCAACATTACTAATATGCATGTAAGTAGATAGTAAAATATAGTTTCTAACTCATCTGCAAGCACTTCAATTGCAGAATAATTAGTAATTCCTGTTAAATAATAATTTAGATGATTGTTTATAACTATTGGAAGTCTTAAATAAAATTATTTTACGATTTAATTTAAGAAAACGGCTTAATATCTCAATTTTACAATGAATTAATCATTACATTCAGTAGATTAGTTATAAATTGTTTATAACTTTTATTAGATCCAAGAGTAGTGGAGATGACCTGAACGGCCTATTTTGCCTTCATTTTGCTGGGTTGTGACGTCAGAGGCTTCACTTTAGGTAACATCTTATTGAACTTTGTGTCCGCGACATAGGAGCTGCGAGAGCCCTTACCATTTTTCTGTCGCTCCCAATGTTATCGATTCAGCATAGAATAAGATTACAACATTCCTAGTGGTTGGAATTAGAATTAAACGTAACTATGAAATTACAATAAGTAAGAACGTAACGGAATTGTGTATTAATAAATGATTCATCGCGTGTTCTACCGCCGACAGAAGATCGTGAACAATTCGAACCACGTATATCTATACATATGTATCTATCTTTATACGCAGATTGAACAACAGAGGATTTTCTACATCTGTCGACTTTAGTATCATTGGTGGTTATATTGTATACGATTCCTAAACTAACGGTTGCAGATCGTAGAGAGTAAAACAAATCCTGTTTTTTTACACGATCGACATTTCAGAACGTTGGACGCAAGACTGTTTTGGTATATCGTAACCGTTTGTAACGTCTATTCATTCTTTACGTATGCAACTTAATCTGCATAATTGAACCTCCATTGTAGTTGAATCTAGCGACGTGCAGCGTCGCCACTGCTGCCATTCGATAATCGAAATTGAAAGTTTGAGAGTTCTAAATCGATTCGATATTGCTAATTCGATGCAACTGTTAGTAAGTAGATCGGAGTGCGTGTACACATGAGAATTGTACAGTATTTTTATATATTTAACGCGTAGTGATGCAATAATTTGTATTTTTGCAAAAATTCCAACACGGTAATACATCAACAACTATTAACATCTTTTGGATTTAAGCTATCTTCTGTGATTCTCAATCGTGCAATGTACAATGTAACGGAAAGATTCAGTGGACAGAATTTCATTCTGTTAATTTATTAATCGATCTCGATCTATAATATTGGTTTTACAAATGGCACTCCTTAATTTGAAATATATATGGACAAAATTTCGTACAATGAGCATATCTTTCGCTATTATAATACGTGTACTAATGCTTGGAATTTTTTCAGATCGCTGTAGAGCCTACGTTACCATAGGAATAACTGAAAGAAGAGTTTCGTTGGATCGTCCGTATACGTAAGTGAAATATAAAAATTTGTACCATTACACATCGGTACCATGTGAATTATCGAAGATAAATGTTTTTTTTTTTAGAAAGCCAAGTCCTCTTAAACGATCGAATTTCCCATTTCGATCGAATTATTTGGCCGTTTATATCGCATTGGAAATATAGTCGTAAAAGATCGATTACCTTTTCGAGATACATAATTATTTTCTACTCTGTTCTCTTTCACAACCCAAGACTATGTTTCAATTGTCCATGTTAAAGTGACTCTTCACCAACGTCCCGATGAGATGAAGCGCCTGGAATGTTTTGTTCGGTTTAAGTCGCTGCCTCAATAAATAAAAAGTGAGAACCTTCATGAGGACAAGGATGATGGTCAAGGCAAGGAAGTCCAGCCAGAAAACCACATGTTCCATTTCTGAAACGACAATTGGGCATATTATATTTTAGCAAAGGTTCGTCTACCAGGTCGTCCCACAAGTTCCTGCCATATTTGGAAATTTGACGAAATAACACAATTTTCTTCGATCTTCTATTACAATACCTTTCGCTCTCGGAACGAACTTACGGCACGACCTGATAATTTCGAATTTCGAGCGTTGGTAATATCTCGCAAGTCTTACGCATCGTGTGTAAAATTTGCCGGGGTGCCCTGAATTCGCAGAATATTTCCGTGGGCGGACAGTACAAATTTTCCCTGTTGAAACCGTACAGTGCAGTTATAAGGTTCTCCAAACCGTACCGAATGTAGCTCAGATACATTATCAGCCTGCGATAAATAGGTAGCGTTTCCGATTCACCTAATCCTTGCACAGCGACTAGCATTAGGGGAACGGAAATTGCGGGCCCGACGAATGTACCATTCTAAAAAGTGCATTTACGTCCAAGGAATTATCGGGACAATTAAAATCGCCGCTGTTATTTGAGAAGAAAGGGCGCAGGAAACGTACCACGATATTCAATATGCTGGCTATAGCCAAAGCCATGCTTTCTGCTATGAGCACGCACATCAAGCAAGTACTGAAAAACATTGCACATCTGAAGAATTCCAACGGTTGGTCTGTGATCGAATATACGATGAAAAGGTAAATCGACGATACCAGTATCTGTAAATTTGTACGAACAAGTTGGAACGTTGTTTTAACATATTAGCTCTGTTGACTAACCTGGACAGGTATATTGACTACGGAGAAAGCACAATAATAGGGACTCAAATCGTACCACCTGTTGAAATATTCTCGTTTAACCAGCTGCACTTCCGAGGGAACTGTAATTTAAAGATTGGTTGGAAAAGAACGGCGGCCCGAACTTGGTAAAACCACGGAGGATAATCGAGGATGATGTTTCGCGACATCGTCGATTTTCCTCCCGTGATTATCGTCTTCTTACAGTTCATCAAGACCGGCAACATAGGCACGTAGAGGAAAACTATCAAACAGGCGAAGCAGAAACCAAAGTTGAAGAGAGTTTTCGATCCGTCATTTCCGACGTTTAAAAACAAGCCCCCGATGATGAAGCCGAGAAATACGTGTAAGCCTATTTTTAGGTATACGTGATTCTGTGGAACATTAAGCGTTCGTTCGTTACGTTCTCCACCGTGACGATTTCACTCGTAGAATTTGCACGATAGTTTCAGAATTTTCCACCTTATTTCTGTACAACTGCAGCAACATTCGTTTCGACAGAGCGACGAATTGGTCGGTCCAGGATAATTTCGACATCTTCTCCGCAAGCTGAAACTCGATGCTCGTTGGTTGAGAAATGGGAACGATAGGAAATTCCGTGGACACGGAATTTATCATTCGACTTATCCATTCGGAACCGTATTCGCCCGCAGATACTTCTATCACTGTAACGATAACGTTGTACTTCTCTCTCCAGCGACACAACCAATTCAAATTAACAGAGTACGATCCTTTACTCACCGAAATCAGCAGGATTGTAATGTTTCGGACAGTCGATGCCAACTTGTCGGACAAAGTCTATCAAGTTATTCACGGTGCTTCTGTAGACACATTGTCCGCTGGATAATACGTAAATATGATCGAATTTCCCGAAGATGCTCGCACTTGGAGTATGAAGGGAACAGATCACGGTTCTTCCTAATTGCGCCAATTGTTTCAAAAGTTCGACACATTGCGAGGCTGATATCTCGTCTAATCCTCTGGAATCGTTAAATCGTTCGATTGATAGGAATTTCTTCTATCTCGGCAGAGATAAACGACTCACGTAGTTGGTTCGTCGAGGAATATAACCGGTGGATTGTTCACCAGTTCCAAAGCGATCGAAAGTCTTTTCTTCTCACCGCCGGATAGGCGTTCGGTGGTGGTGTTCTTTGCACGGTTTAACCGTAAAACATTCAGAATTTCTTCTATCTAAAATTAGAGAAATATTCACCAACTCTCTATCGTAGAGCGCGCGACTAGAATGCGTAAAGTGAGACACGATGCAGTTTGAATATTCCAAGCCCTCAAAATGCATCGCTTCGAATACCGTGAGCCACGGTTGAAGAAGATCTGCTTGCATAATGTAGCAGGTCATTTTTTTGAAATCTTTCCGCGGCTTTCCATTGATATTTATGTGTCCTGCAACGCTGCAGCCGGTTGTCCTGGAAATATCATCCTCGATTTTCACAAAGAAACAACCTTTGCCGTTGCAAAGGGTGGAATTGGGACAGCTGCGTAGCGCTTGAATAACTACAGTCGCCTATCGATCGAGTAGACGCGGCGCGACGCGACGTTAGGATTCGTGCCGACACCAACTTGGTCAAAGATTCCACTTGTGTTTGCAACAGGTCGCGGGGTCAGTGATCTTCGACTTGATAGTCGCGCTTTTAGCTTTTGGATTCGATCGCAGGCGTAAATACGAGCTAGCAGTGTAACGATAACTATGTAAGCGCCGCGTAATTTCGCAAGTACTAGAATTACCTAACCGCGATTAATGCTCTTTTAATTGCACGATGATTTATCTCATCTAGAATACATGCATGTTCGTTCCAATTAACATTACTTGTATCCCGCGAGGACGTTTAACAAGGTGGACTTTCCGGCACCTGAGGGACCCAGTATCCCGGTTAATTCTCCAGACTTGAATTGTCCACAAATCCCCCTCAATATTACTTTTGAACCTACGACACACGAACAAGAAATTGTATTATTCCATGACGTAATAAAGTACGCTCGGAGCATACTTTGTCATGCTGGTAAAGAAAAAAAGAACAGACGAACGTCCCACCTGTCTAAATATACCGATCATCTTTCGACGATAAATGCGAATCGCGTGATTGTAAAAAATTGTACGAGTTTCGTATACGAGTGTGTGCGTTCAGGCATACATATATTATAAAGGGATTGCCTTTCACGCCGGGCAATCCGATCGTTTGCACACGTGAAATATTTCGATCGGGCTTTCCCCACCAATTCGTTGTCCATCTAATACAAACGATAAAACGAACTCTTATTTTATTTTACGCACTGTTGTCACTCATTTGTGAACGTATTAGCAGTTTTGGTAGGTGGGTCCAAGTGTGATATCCACCACGACAGAATCCTATCTTTACCAACGCAATCGTTCGTGTCGGTGTAAGTGACAACGCAAAGGCTCGATTATCGCCGCGATTAATGATCCATGAAGGAATTTCTCCGTTTAACGCGATTTATGTCATCCGCCTTATAAGGCCGTGACTGTCGTATGCAAAACAGTTTCGTTCTATTTTCTTCTCGATCGCGTTCAGAGGAACGTACAAAGCCTCTAATCGGCTAGAATACAGACGAAACGGGTAATTGTCTTCTAGTTGTCTGTAAGGAGAAAGGTTGGAAGCATCGTCGAACTATAGAAAGTGAGACACCGAGAACTTCAACGGGAGAAAAACGATCAAAGTCGATCAAAGTAAAACTGCAAGTTTTTGCGAAACGTTCGACTGCTGGATAGCCACGCGAAGACCTCCCACGAATTCGCCTGCTCAAACTTTCCCCTTTTAGTTTTCCGTTTATGTTCAAGACACATTTGTTTTGCGTTCGAGGGGAAATCAGTCACGATTTTCTTTCGAACGTTATCCGAACACGTTCGCGTGTTGAGCAACGAGGCAGGACCTGACTTGAAACCAGAAACAAAAGACTTTTGCTTTTCTCAATTTACGTGACACTTTTCGCTCTGTAACGTAATGCTTGCAAAAATTTCCATTGCTTTTTTTTTGCCGATAGAATACTAGCCAGAGACTTGTCTAAAAAATTGATTTGCAATTCTAGGGAACGTAACAGATACTCGATGAAACGAGACTCGAGGAAAAATTAGACGTAGGTACTAGGCATGTTAATAAATTGCAACGGTGAATGAAATAAATCAGTATTGTTGATATCCTCGTTGCTACTCAACTTTTTTATATTCCGCACCGTGTGGATCGGTATTTGCATGTAATTACGCGTCTCCACGGTAGGAATGTTACGCAGGCGATACTAATTCCCATGATCATTTGTCGAAGGAGATAATGACGATAGTACTCTTTTTTTCTTTAAGTCTATCGTTATTATTGTATTCCAACTGTAGAATAAAGCATCGATACGTTTTTCATTGTATTCAAACGATACATCGATGCGTTTACATTATCGTACCTTTTTTACCATAAGGTATCTTATAGGTCAAGTCGTTGAATTCGATGTCAATGGGGGCCATCTTTTTAAGATGCGATAACGATACAGGGGCATCGTGCGTTCCATCGTTCTTCTCCTCTGCCTTGAACTCCGATCTTCCGGACATGGTCGATCTGCAGAGGCCGTTGCAACCAGATTTTTTATCTTTAGTTCCCGGTGAATTCTCAAGGACGTATACAAACCATTAATCATGTATGTAACAGCGGCGATAGATTTCTTTTCTCTCGGAATCACACGGTCCAAGTAAACCGAGTATAGTACGGCGAGTAGTCGTCGAGCAGATACTATCAGTCACGAGTAATCTAGGGTAGTTAAAGGCTGGATTAATCGAGAACGAGTTGACGAGCGTACGGCGGTGAATGGGATGCGAATTTCTCGGTAAGATACCGCGATAAAAGAACTCACTGAGAAAACACAGCACATAGGAAGAGCTGAAAGCTCAGCACACGGTAGATCGCGGTCGAAGACTGACGTTCAAGTAGCTTTACGGAGCAGCTCCCTATTCTTAACGCCGCTACTACACATACACGATACAGTGTTACATTGCTCACGCGTGTTTTACGCCACCCGTATAATACATATCGTGCATCGCTCTGTATCTCCGATCGCTGTGTCCCGTCACGATGGAAATTCTTCTCTGTTCGAGTCACGACAAATTGCTACTTTTTCCACATTCGCTTAAACCATTATGTACAATGATGCAGCGTAACAAAGGAACCGTAAAAACCACGCAAGGTCCGCTGTGAATCACGCGCAGAACTCGCGCGTACTTGTGCATATGCATATACGGATACGATATATTACGCATCGAGATACTGTGTGACCAATTTAACATCATCGATCAGTTCCAATTCCCGCGAGATAACGTGTAACACCTAGTTGAGCTTTTCAATTTATTTCCCGCTCGTGAACGCGGTAACATTTGTTTATACTGCTTTGCCGAGAATGAAATCATCTTTGTTAGAAAACAACTGGACTCTGGACACAGAGAGATTTCTTAAACAGAAACATATCCGTACACTTTCATCGTGATTGTTCCGCACTTCTGTTCAAACCAAATTAAAACGATAGGCACGTTAAGTTTGGAAGCGATAACAGACTGACTGCAACACCGATTTACAATGGTTCGCCTTTATGAACCAACTACATAGATAGACGCATTTACGTAGGAGTACGCAGAAGTTACACGCATGCTCCGGCCGTGGACACATTTTCCCAACCTTCTCGTGGAAAAGACGATACCCTTGATGTTCCTTATAAACTTGTTCTCCTTCCACGTTAACTTTCAGTCATCTTTTCTTTTCTCTTAAAAAAAAAAGTGGTAAATTAAGTTTTACCGTAGCGTACATGTGTATCGTTTGTCGAAACCGGTCGTGAAAGAACTATTGCATCGGTAAACGCGCGTTTTCTTTGTTCCGCGCATATAAATACCTCTCCAGCATTGGTTCGCCATTTATTTGGCCCCAGCAAGAGCAGAAAATAAAACATAACAAAGTTCAAGGATGCTATCTACTGTGTCGGTGTGGAATACGAGTCCGTTGAACTTTCCTACTAAATAGAAAAGTGTGCGCACGTTACGTTTCACGTATTCATTGTGACGCGATCTTCCGTCGCATAAAAATACACGTACTTATACACATACGTTCTGCGCGCGTGCACAAAGGTACGCGAGCGTATTTTTTGTGTACCCGTGAAATTACTACATCAGACATCGGAGTAAATGTCCTACGCCCAGTTTACTTTTTGCGCTATGCGTAGGAAACGTTGATCGCTATATTTCGCGGAATCTATCAACTTATCGTCGGGGAAAAAATTAATGAACGTGTTTAATATCGTAGCGCGTGGCATGACCTATGCATTCATCGTAACGCTATTCGTTTCATTAACGTAATAATCATTCACTTAATTACTATGTATATTCGAGACACGAGTTACTTTTTGCTCTATTTACTGCCCGCAGCATTATGCACGATAGTTTGAAAATCAACCAAACGATATTATGAAAAGCATAGTTTTATTCATAATAAACGTACGCTATAAAATACAACGAATATTATGGCAATGCAGCACAGGTACGTGCAGTCGCATCCACTATATTTTACAAAAGTATACGTATATATTGATCGGAAGCGATCACGCGAACGTTTCACATATAAACATGTATAATTTATCCCATCTTTGTAAATAGATACAAACGTATTTCCCATTAAAGTACATTCGTCGAGTTAGTCGATATTAGTAAAAAAAAAGAAGGAAACAGAGAAATCGAACGTTTCGATTCCCCGTTCTTCGTTAACACTCGATATTGCCTGGAGAGAGTCGTGTTAAACATCCTTCGAGCGTAAGGATTATCACATTTCTAATACGGCTACTGTCGAATATTGTATCGGGACATCTGAAGGTTTGCTGTTACGTCTTATGGCTCGAGTCTCTGTTGTTAAAACTAAACACCTCAACCTCTCCAAGAACTTTAAAATCAATTTTTCAAAGGTACTTTATTCCTATGCGACTTACACTTTTACATGTGGTAAACTCGCTTAAAAAATGTCCTCTATACACTTGTACAAGAGACACGTTAATTGGAGGTGTTACGACGAACCTAAGATTTCCAATTAATCTTCCTATAAAACGTAAGTTCGTCTGTTGAGTGGTTAACGAAGGCGTATCTTAAATCGGTGTCTTCGTATCTTAAATTATCGGTGTCGGATCGGCCTAGCCGGTCGCATAATGCCCCCAACACGATCGTTCGCAAGCACAAAACAGCCTCAAAAACATGTGTAAGATTAAGATTCTGGTTTTACGACACGGACGCGTCTACCCTAGCTTTCGGTGTCTCTTATCCTTAAACCCCTTGTACCGAATTTTCCTTGAAATATATTTCTAGTACCGATTGACGTGTCGTAAAGCCACGAATGTAACGTATAAACAGTTCACTTCCGTTAGGACAGAAACATCACCACGGCAGCGACGTACATTTTTGGGAAAAGCCAGGTTTTGCCCCTTCTCTGAAAATACATCTAAACTTGTTTGTAAACTGGGGATTGTTGCCGATACATCCCCACCATCCGGGGATTTAGAAATTAGAATTAGAAATTATCCGAAAATGTACGCGTCACCGTCTATTGTTCTGCTGAGAGAAGTCCGTTTCCTCAGCAGCCGAGTTCGTTTCAAAACCATCATTGCTAACACATCATTCATACATAGTTCCCTGGCAAACACGCGCCGAGAAATTCTAACAATTGTAATCCCATCGAGCAGTCTGACGCGATAGCAAACTTGTTCTTTACGTTAAAGTACTACTAGTCGATCCTTTATTCGTTTACCCAACTATTTACATAAAGTTAAGTCGGTGTGTGAGGTACGCGTAAAAGAGATTCTAAAAAATCTCGAAACTACGTGTACGCAACGTCGTGTATAAAATTGAACATTCGAGATATAAACGGTAAGCCTGGCAAGATAGTTACGATTACGTTGTTTATCTTCGTTCTTCGTGAAGAACAACATTGGTCAAACATCGTATCCACGTTGAAGATGAAAAATATAAAATTCGTCGCACTTTTACCTTCCGTAACACTCCTGCGTGCATCGTCAAACTCACAGCCATAGGTGGTTAAAAAGTGTGGATCGCTCGCGACACGTTGACAATTAAGGCCTCTGATTTCTTTCACGGAGAATAAAATTGCAAAGATTTTTCTCGATTGCATTCCAATCACTCCAAACTATTCCGTTCTATTAACTATCATCCCCCCGTTTTCCACCTCCCCTGAAATTTCCAATACACACACTTGTGCGATCGATTCGAGATCATCGTGTGTAAATTACGTGCACTGTTAGCAGTTTCTTCTATTGTGCGTAATTAAATGAATTGAAAAGACGGAAAAGTGCCCTGAACGAACACCTCGAAATGATTACCGTAAAACTGTCGTTATAAAGCTAATAGAGACGAATAAATGATATTAACCTAAATCTTATAAATTCAACGTATACCGATCGTAAACTTCTCTCGACGGTTGACAAAATTCCGAGGACAATAGTTTTCGATAGCCAAGGAACACCAAGTTGTTAATCGCGTATACAACGATGCTTAAAAAATGGAATTATCGCCGTAGAGCTCTTCGGAGCTTGTTTAGAAAAGTGTTATACGCTTGAACATTATTAAATTGACAACAACAATCTGCAGACTGGTGATCTATCGTGCAGTCTTCAGTTTCCAACGAAGGAATAGGTAGGCGGCGATTCGAAGAATGACGAATATCAAAAGCAGGGCAAGAATATCGAGAGTAAAATCAGCATCGAGCATATCCAGTTCTTCTAACGTTGTCTCCGGATTTTTAAAATGGCAGTAAATCTGTGTGTCGACGTCCAATGAAAAGCAACAAGTTGTGATTAAACGTTGACGTAGAACGTAACAAGGAGAAAAGAGATACGAGGAATACCGTACCTGAAAACATTTCAATTTCTGTCGACCAAACGAGTAGGTGGCTAGCGCAGTTCCTTCGAAACCGTATCTGATATAACTCAGATAAGTGATCCATCTAAGGTATACAGGAATGGCGTCGAAACTAACGAAAAAGCCAGAGAACAGAAGGAACGGTACAGACATAACCGGAGCTAAGAATACACCGTTCTGTACATTCATCGCTGCTCCCACCACCAGTCCAACTGATTGCGCGACAAAAGAAATTAGCAGACACGTTCCCAAGAACATACTGAATCGCATACCATCCGTAGGTTGACTTGTCAGAAAGTACACAATTGTCACGTACATGATGCAGAATACCGCCTGTAAAGAAACGTTCCAAGTAAAGTTTCACACATTCGGAAGAGAATGTTATTGTAACAGGTCCAAGTCTTTTACCTGGAATGGTATATCTGACACAGTTATCGCTAAATAATAGGCCTTGAGGGAGTACCATCTGTTAAAATTTTCTTTCAGAAGCACTGGTAATTCTAGCGGAACTGTAACAAGTAAAATTTTTGCAATTCGAGTCACATTGAACGTTCGGAAGGAGGAAAACATGGAGAAGCTTGCAACTTACAAGATAAAATCGTGATAGTCATGGATGTGTACATAAGAAACAGCATGTTGAAGAACAAAAATCCAAGGTTGCTAAGTACTTTAGCACCGTCGTTTCCAATGTCGTAATAAAGTGCGCCAATCAATAATCCTACTAGAATATGGGCAAACAGTCGAAGATACATAAGTGTCTGCAAAGGAAAGAATTATCGTGAAATCGCTGGTGGCAAAAATAGGAAAAATGGACGGATCAAGTTTGAATCGAACGAACGTACCCAATCTCTTCTGCTGAAAAGTAAAGTTCGCTTTAAGACGATCCAAAACTGCTGGCATTCGGACGTGGGATATCTTTCTGTAGTAACTATAATTGATTCATCGAGTAAGGCTACTTGAGCGTTATCCTTTTTTTCCATATTAATCGGTATCGCTACCTCTACTGTGAAGTATAACAAAATTATACAGAAACTGCGAATGATTATTAATCTACTTAATAATACATCAGAAGATTTCCATGTACCTTGTTTCGCAATATCGTTAGTTGCGTAAGATGGAATAATTCCCTTATTGTTCATCTCCTTGACGGTATCATCGTGAAACTTTTCCTCCAAATTGCTCACGTCGTTTTTATTTTTCATCTCGGCATTTTCTTCGCTGGCCGCATCTTTCGGGAATGCTTCGCTAGACGCGTTATTAAGTCCCTCCGATTTATTATCAGGGAACGGATATCCTTCTTGGATATCGTATTTTCCATTTTTTATAGAACTCACCAAGCTTCTGATGTTGTCCCCGTATTCCCCGCAAGATACTTCGATAACTGGAAAGGAAATTACGTAAATTGAGGGAACCGGAGGATGAAGGCGAGATGTGACTTACTGAAAGAGGCCGGATTGTGGTAACTTGGACAGTTAAGCCCGATATTTCTAAGGAAAGGCACTAATTGCGACGTGGATCCCTGATACACGCATTGTCCTTCCGCCAATGTGTACAAAGAATCGAACATTTCGAAAAGCCTAGCGCTAGGCTGATGAATGGTGCATATTATCGTTCTTCCACCTCCGGCTAAAGTCTTCAAGAGCGAGATACATTGAAAGCAAGACGACGAGTCCAAACCACTGTAAATAAATGAAACGCGTTATTTTTTTGGAATTGTCTTCATCAGGCGACTGGAGTAAGGAAAGAATTCACATTTCTGTTTTGCACAGTTGAACTTTTCGACTATCGCGGTGAAAAGTTTATCGAAATAGTAAGAGACTAATTGTTGGTTGCTAATATAGGGCTCAAAAAGGAATACACACGTGTATGCTACTCTATGTAATTTCAGTGAAAGCGAGGAAGAAAAGAATCGACAACGTAGTTGCTGGTTACACACTTTCTCCTTTTATTTTTATCATCTATAATTTTCTCTGCGCATAATTATTGTAATATTTATTACAACTACTATAGGTAATATAGGGCACTGTTTCAACGGGAACATATTGGAACTTTTGAAATTGAACTTGGACGATTATTTACTGACACTGACCATGCTTTCTCGTTAAAGCGTTATATAAAGGGCAAACAGGTTTCTCTAGTATTGATAGTAGTGAAAGTGAAAGTATGCATATACAGTGGCAAAAGCATCTCTTTCTCCGACACGAGTTTGTACCGAATGAATTAATGCAATCGAAGCATATCGCTAAACGATATACGATGTTCTCACCTGGTGGGTTCGTCGAAGAACATTATAGGCGGATTATTGACTAATTCGAGAGCGATGGAAAGCCTTTTCTTCTGGCCACCGCTCAAGTTCGAAGTCATGGTTCGGCGATGCTCGGAAAGACCAAGTGTTTCGAGGATCTCCTGAATCTAAATGACAGAAATAACCAATTCATTCAAAGAAAAACATTGGAAGAAATTTCTTCGTAGCAAGAACGTACCACTTCTTCTTTTTCCGCCTTGTTAACGTGCGATCCCAGTTTAAGGTTCGAAGCAACCTTCATAGCTTCGGCCACGGTTAAATTCGCATGAAGTTGATTATCTTGCATTATGTAGCAGGACAGTTTTCTGAAGGCACTAAGGTTTCTTTCGTGGCCGTTCATTGTGATACTCCCCTCCACACCTGTTGACCTAAACACATATTTGCAATGGTTTCACGTCTCGGATGGACTGGTTAGAGGGAACGATGTCTAATTAACGAAGGGCAAGGATCAATTTTATCGTCAGCTGTATTTCATCCACGTAGTTGGTATGACGTCAGAAAACGAAACGGAATAATACCGGACGAGTGAATAAATGTCAGTCTCGCCTCGAATTCGGTCACACCCGATACAAGGATGGTAGAACCAGTTTTACTTTACGAATTGCTAACGAGCATCGTCCTTGTCACGTGTATCGCGCGTGAAAATGAACTTTTCTCTCTCTCTCTCTCTCTCTCTCTCTCTCTCTCTCTACCGTTACAACAGCGTTTCGTCGAGGGATTAATTTGTCCCGATTTGGAAAGTAGAAGTTCCCGCGAAAGAATTGCGTAAGAACCGAGAGTATACAAAGGAAGCGGCGAATTCACAGAAAGAAAGTGAAATTACACGTGGGCGAAGAAAGTGAAAGAGGATATGTAGATCGAAAGAGGCCGAAAAATGATTTCTCGCGTGTCATTCTGACTCGTTCAACTTTTGTCCTTAAAAGAGGCCAGTAATGATATATACGAGAACAATGATTTTCCAATGAATAGTGAGCAGCTACGCTATGAGACTTGCATAAACATAATGACTCACTTGTATCCGGTGAGGATGTTTAAAAGAGTAGACTTTCCTGCACCGGAAGGCCCCATAATAGCCGTCAGTTGTCCAGATCGGAGCCTTCCACTCACAGATTTCAGGATTGTCTTTACATCTGAAAATGAACCAAATACATATTTCACTCCGTTCGTGACGAAAGGTAATCCAACAGTTTCTTAATAGAGTGTCGATATGAATTTGGCTTTCCCGCTAGGAAATATGTGAGAGTTGACGCTGCAAAATGACCAAGCCTATCTTACCTATCTTGAAATTTAAACGTTCAATAATTATCGTTTGAACTTCATCTTCTCGTTGGATTTTAGTCGATACTGTTAATTATGCAACATTAGCGGATAAGTCGGAAGAAATAGTATGATATTATTGCTGTCGTTGTATAACACGACATCGAAAATTGCGTGACTACGGATTATTTCTGCAAACGTAACACGACTCTCTGTCTATCTAGTACAAATCAGAATTTGTTTACCAGTATTAAAAATTCCATTTTTATTCGGTATGAAACGAAGGAAACAAGGTAGCGAATTTCATCTCTGATAAGTACATACTTGTAGTATTACCTACGTATTACTTACAATTAGTATCGTTCAATAGCGTAACTTGTTTAAGAAATTACTTTTTTTTCTTTTTTCTAATGAAATATTACGAAGACGACAAAAAGTTTCAAATTGCTAACGCGTTTGCGACAGAAAACTTTTATTAGCACTTAAACGTCCCTCGAACGATAAAAAGGATAGACAGTGCCGCTGAGTAAATGATGTAGCGCAAAAAATACTTGTGTATCGATAGGTAGGGACAATCTTCTATATGTATATCGAAGGAAAGCTAATTATTAAGAGGCTGCTCTTTGTTGCGCGAAACGTTCGTTGCAAAAATCTTGTTACACGTTCACTTTCCACCAGTGGTCATACATTGCCCCGATCGCTCCACTTGCATCTGTGTCATATCTAAAAAGAGGTGAACGCAAATAAAATTACGACAATGAACTTTATATTCGGAAACAATACGTTTCTTACGTGTACTCGTTGTAATTCATTCACAGATATGCTTTCGTTTTTTGCCACTTACTTTAAACTGTTTCAACTTTGACTATCCTCCTATTTATAGAACGTGTATTAACATTAACATGGCCGGAGTATCGTTGTAAATCTCTGGTCATTGACACGCGAACGAGACAACACGATAAATATGTATAGTACGAACGTAAATTGTGAAATTAACAGCGTAATTTTTCCAATCTAAATACAAGTTTAAACATTACACCTGAACTGCAATCAATTCTTATCGAAAATATAAACGCGATAAAATTGCAATTTCAGCTTTTTACGGTTAAGCGATTACATTTAATCGCGCTTTAAACGAATAACAGGAAAAATAATTTGAAGATTTCCGTTGTTTGTACAACCGTGCGTTCGGATTGTGGAATTTAAAAAAGGAAGGGAAGAGTAGTGAAAATAATAGCCAAAGCGAAATGAAAACGGTAACCCGATATCGGACGAACGAAGCTTTATCGCACAGCTGCTGTGTAACTGGAACAGTAAGTTGGTCCCATGTAGAAACGAACGATAAGTGGAAACAAAGACAGGTCTTTTCAAGTTGCTCGCATTATTGTTGCGTTTGTTACTCTCACCGCGCTGGATTATTATTCGATCTGAAGATTTGGTAGGAAATAACGAACGCTCCTTTCGAGTGGCAAGTATGTACTTTCGAAATCGTGGTTGAAGCCTTATGCCGCAACCGGTCTTCTTACAAAATCTCGGTCACTAACTTTACTCGTTTTAGCTAACTGCGCTCCACAAACCACGTTGAAAGTTTCTTTTTCTTTTTCGATGAAAATGCGCGCAAAATCGCATACGACACGTGCATTGCTCCAGAGAAGTGTTTCTTTTCACAAAGATTACGTTTACTTTACGTTTAAAAACATAAAGTTATCGACTTTTTTTCGTCAACTATAGCGACCTCTTCTGTTTCTAGAAATATAAAGGCGCGATAAGAATTATATCGTACTTACTATTTTTCCCGCCTTCCCGCACTCTGTAAGTGAGATCGGTGAACGCTAGATCGACCGGCGGTCTCTTCGGCAGGTGAGTGATCGTTTTCGGCTGTGCAGGTACAATTTGCAAACGCGTCCCCGAATTCTTCCTAGGTTGCAACAGAATCTCATTGGTGTTATCTTCGCGCGAACAATTCCCTTCAAGCTTCATCTTGTATCGTTTTATCTCGAACCGTACGCAAAAATGAAGTATCCTCCCTTTCTTTTCTCGCACTCGACTGTCGTTCAAACGAACCAGCCTTTCCACAGCCTTATGTTCTCGTTAGTAGATAAACGTACGATTTCTCTCATCGCCTGCAAAATTATTTCACCTCTCAAGTTTATCACACCTACTATATGTATACATACGTACATATACGTGCATTACGTTCTCGAACGCGACGTTACACGGTCGTGCATCTTCTACATATACTTACTTGGGCATCGAACTTTTTCATTAATTGTTTCTTCAATGGAAAAACAGGATGCGGTTTCTTTTTGTTCGAGCTTACTGGCATTTACCGACGCGTTAAAAGACAGCCGTTCCTCGAACGGCCAGTCAAGTCACGTTTCTTATTAACCTTTTTGTACAAGAAAAAATGCAAAACGGGATATCGACGTTATTTATGATGATTCGGTATGACGAAACGCTTAATTTAAGCGAACTTTCAAATGTCACAGTTTCTTTATTCGTTGGCGTTAACTCGGCCGCGATATCGAGGAAGAACTTGAAAACAGGTTCGAACCGAGCGAGAATTAGAGGGGGGAATTTGAAGAACCAACAGCTCGGGTAATACTGGATTTGAAATATAAACGCGTTCTTACATTGTCGGAGTAGCCAGTCGCATAGCAAGTGGTTGACAGAGAGGCGATCGTGAGCTTAGAAGTAACAACTGCGTAGATCATCGACTCTATCCTCGAGTCAGAAACGAGTACATCTCGGGGAGTTTTATATCGTTAACTCGGGCACGTTCTGCAAAGCAACTAGAACGTCGTTGAAACGATTCGCAGACGGAACGATAATGGACGACGGAACTGTACGATCGAGAACGGTAACGACGATAACGTTAACCGAATACTGGTTTTCTCGAGGAGACAGCCAGCACCGATAGTCCCTCCGACGATACTTAAACCTCGGTGTCTCGAGACTGACTGGCTGTATAACTCCACCACCATTTAGCTGCACCGCGGCCATCACCATTGACCGTCGTTGCTTTCCACACTGCTCCTTCTCACTCCGCTTCCCTCGCTACCTCTCTCTTTTTAAGGACGCTGATCGAACAAAGGAAGATGATCGAGGGAATGAACGAGATCAAAGTCGAGATCGTGCTCTCGAGCTTTTTAGTTGTGCTCTTCGGTAATTGTCCCATTAGTAGTTGCCTGGCTCTCATCAGTTTAGTCTGTTCCTGTTTGTACCGAACGGTTTAACGTTTAAGCGAGGTCAACCCCGTTGATTTTTTTCTTTTCAACTCGTCTAATTACATTTTAATCGGAAAGATGATTGTTAAGAGAAAAAAAATAAACTACCTGCAATCGTTAGGTGTATCGTTTTACGGAATATCGTCTGTAAAAATGTTAGAAAAAATTGACAGTAATTTCCTTACGCGAACGAGGATAAATCCTGACAGACCTTGACAACTTCTTATTTTTCTTTTCGAAGAGAACGCGTCGCGCAGCGTCGAGTCACAGCATATCTGGAGGCGTTAGCGAATGTCGCGATGAAGATGAAACGAAGATTACAAAGGGAAACGTTGCGTTGCTGCTCTAACAGGTAACAACGAATGTTCGATAATAAAGGGATCGTTATTGATTCACGTATAGTCGACCACTCCATTTACATTTGTCTCGCGTTTTCGAAAACCGCGACAGATGATTACGGTAGTCGGAAAGGAAGGCGCTTTGACGTCGGAAGTTGGCGCGTCACGTTTCATCGGCGTCATCGAATTGTACGCGCTGAATTTGAAAACAGAGAAAGAAGCTCCGTTGATACCGATCTATGCTAAATCCATTCGTCAACCGAGTATTCTCTCTATCGCGAGGAAGATGCTTCCGAAAAGCAATTACGTATAGGAAGATGGAAGAGTTTCTGTTGATCGAACAAAAAACCTACTAATTGCACGACGGATAGGGCAACTATCGATGACGCATGACACGTTCAATTCTACTACTTACAGTACCTGTGCACGTAACTTAAATGCTGTCGCATCGTCGATACTCCGGCTAGAAACGAATATTCATCGGTCGTAATATTCCCGATAAATATTGGTCACATTAGGATACGGTTTGCGTCAATTGGAAAATAATAACCAGGTGTCGTTTTAACGACCGTCGATCTTTTGCACCACACTCGAATTTTCGCTTAACGGGCAACTTGTAAATTGACGCGTTTTTATCTCGTTTATGTAGCTAAACTAATATTACCGTTGCGCTGGCAAACTTCGTAATACCGTTCTCAAAGTGATCATAAGCGCATGCTCATACAGGTATTTAGTATATTTCATAGCTTTGCCATGTGGCCTGCCAAGTCGATGAATATTAATTACGATGACATTCATTAGGATAGCAACCGTAAAAATGAATATACTAAGTATCGTTATTGTAGCAACACGATTGCTTTGAAAAATTAATATTCATCGAGCGATGGTGGATTTATTCGGTTAATAAATGCAAGCAAGTCAGGAGGAAAATGCGAAAGAATTCCGGAGGAAGTTGAAAAACCAGTCACGTGCGTTTCACACAACTTTTCTCGCAACAAGTGCTGTTCAAGCACAAAAACGCTGCATCGCTGTTTCGTCATGCTTCTGTTGTCGAAATTTTCACGCCAATAAAAAGTAGATGCGACTATGCAGAAGTTCATTGCCAAAGTGAATGCAGTGCATTAGAAAAATATACATACGCATACTTTTATACGTGTATTCCACCATCGATAAAGCTATCGCGGCGATACTTGACGAATCTATCCGGAATAAAGGTCACTTACACAACCAGAAGTGCAAAGTCCAAGCCTACAGTTATTTAGCAGTTACGATAAGAACGTAATTGCTACATTCGTGCGAGAAGAATTTTACACTCGTTTCTATTCTCCTATTTCCATTATAATATAAGTTACTTCACCTCGCTACGATAGAAGTTAGAATAGTTCTGCAAATACTTTGGCGTTAGATTCCAAACCGAACGACGCGGAGGGAATGCGCGTTTATTCTGTCGCGTAAGAATATGCAAATCGATACTTTGTGCAAAAACAATGCTTCGAGATTTGTTGTGACATCTTCAAAGTTCAAAGATCAATATCTTTATCTTTATCGAGACCTCTACCTTTCAACAGCTGAAACGATTACAGGAGAGTACTGCGTTAATCTTTTGGACCAAGTCTTGATCGAACTCGATATCGATAAAGGAATGCGATAAGAAAAAAAAAAAAAATAAGAAATATCGTGTGTTCTCTAGAATTCTATCGTGCCGCGATCGGTAGAATATTCCAGTCCGAAGTTTAAGATCTCGAAGAAGCGAAGGAAACACAGCAAACTTGTTTAAAATATTATCACGAACATGCCCTGGCGGTATACCGACGACGCGACACGTATCAACCGCGCGATGTGGATGTATTTAACGTACTTACGTTTTGTTCGTGCATGCATCGATCGATTGCGTGCGATCTAATGTCGGAAGAAGGTATTAAATAACACCAACAACATCGAGCAACGTAGAATTTGCTTTGTACATTCGTTATATATTTCAAAATCAAAGGTGCAATGAGAAAATTCAAGCGACGAGAGAAATTTATTTTGCCGTGCGCATAAACATTCCAAACTGTTGTACCGCTGAAGCTTGAGAGATCATTTTTGCGAGAAATGTTCGTTCTACTTATGTATTTCTGTTTTGCTCACCGGTCGACTCCATTGAAAATTAACTCGACATGCCCCTTTTGCTTTCCACTTTCCACCATTGTTTAATTCCTTTTATCTCTCTGGACAGATTTATCTTGATGTCGATATAACGATTCGATCTTCTGAAATCACGAAAATAGGTTGTTCAATCGCACAGGTGGAACGTTAAGCCGAAGAAAAAATTGCAACGCGAGATAATCGCATAATTAAGCGGCAAGGAAGAAAGTACAAAAAAACTGCTTGCCATAATGCCAAGATACAACACAATTCCTACTTATCCTTCTCTGTGCTGTACTGGACAAAACTTGAGTAGAATATATTAACGATCTTATAGGTCAATGTTAACGGAGAATGATTAATTATCGCGTATTATATTTGAAAAGCGTTAGAACTATCGGTAATGTCGTTTTACAAAATTACTAACTTTTCGTTACGTTCGTTTAATTAATTAACATTTAGTTGTTGGTTAAGACTACTAAATAGCAACCTCTCAGCCTCGGCAGAATATAGAAATAAGTCGTGATTCAGAAAATTTACCTAACGATACGGGAATTTGGAACTTGTGTCTTCGTAATTTTATTAGAAAAACATCACCGGTAAAATACTTAAATGAAAATTGACGACTAATAAGTAATAAAAGTTTTTAAAGAGATCTAAGAAAAAAAAGTGTATAAGAAATGTTTAAATATGGCGGGAAACTGAATAATCAATATATTCCGTTGTTATCAGTGAAGTTTCTCCGTCCTATATTTCGTTCAATTGTTTCGCAGTTAATTGTTAAACTTTTAAAAATGCACAACGGACATATATATTTAAAGCTTGGCATGAAAGCTAAGAAAAAATGAAACGATGCTTCGATAGTCAAAATCGACACGTACTGTACGTACTACCTAATTGCAAGAATTCGAGGTTATGCACGACAAGAGAGACCACTAGTTTTACATTCTATCTGTACACTCAACTGTTTATATGCTCACTTTAATGTTGCTTTCGCGTATCGTCCCGTGTAGCTGTGCGAACAATACACGTTTCCTAAACATGAGTATTACTAACACGTTTAACAAGAATCTGCTTCACCACGAATGATTAGGCCGTACAATATAGGAAAACACAACATACCAGCTTTACGCCTGCCAACACGCGGCACGACGTTCCCCCACAAATCGTGTCGATCAACGGTCGACGACAACTGTTGCCTGTTCTAATCGTATAACGCTAGTCTAATCGACGATTATTCAATATCCCCATGTTAAAGTCCACTCAGCGGATTGGTCGTCGATAAGATTGTAGGATCGAAAATCTTTGACGTCTTCCTTCTTACTTCTCAATTCCCACCCATATTGCTGCTGTTTTTCATCCTGTTTCCATGTTTTGTCCATTATGCTTTTTCCACGTTGCGATATGCGCATTATTAATATTGACAACGAATATGGCCTACGTTGCTAGTTGAATCCGAGAAAGGAGTGTTATTTGATTGTTTACCTTACGGACATATTAATTACGCGAATATTTCGATTATATCGTTACTGTGCAATACGAATAACTAAGCTTACATACGAAGTTCAAGGAGACGTGAAAAAGGAAGGTTTACACAAAATTCTCTGTATCGTCAGTTTTTATTTCAAACAATGTAAAAATATGGAGAACTGTATAACGGTTGCAGCCATTTGCAAATTTGTGTTACCAACGTATCCAGGTAACGCAAATTTCCCAAGTCACACCACGAGGAGGTTGCTGCAAATAGTGACTCACCCTAACTCCTACGGCCCATCCACCCTTCCTTTGAAAACTCTAAGCTGCAGCAAGACATCATTGCAGCGTGAATCAACCGACTATTTAATATATAAATAGGCGGTATCATATAAAAACAAAAAGGACCTACCCGAAAGAAGGAAGAGGTGCCTAGCGCCCTCCTCTATCCTCCTTAAAGCTAGGATATAGTCTAAACCCTAACAAAACCCTAACAAACCCTAACGTCCCTAATTAGGCAGGCGATTTTCTATCTAATCTTTACTTAAGCAGGCTTGTGCATTCGTTTAGTTCATATGTTATCAAATGGCGTACTCCTGAATGTAAGGAGGGCCTACGGACACGATCAACGATGCGAAACTAAACCAAAGCTCCCTCCGAAGGAGCAGCGCAAATTCAGTTCAATTGCGCATCTCGTCCGATTCGTCGTCTCGAGGATATAATAGAGGAAAAGGTGTAATTGTAAATGGGATAGGAACATCAATTGCGTTACTAGTCCATTTACGTGCGAGTTTTGCTGACGAAGCTAAGCTGAGAAACGGCGTCTCTTTGCGTTGCAGAGAAACTAGTTGTTTCTTTTACTTCCATTCGTCAACAATCGCTTAGATCCCTAGTGGGTTACCGATTTTATACGTATGATCTCCTCCAGCCCGATTCGCAAGAATCGTATTACTAAAGAGGCAATTAAGGAACGACAGAACGCGTTTCTGTTTAATCATCGTGTAAAACCGGGTCGTGTAATGGCGTTGCATGCCACGGACATCCTCGAATTCAAAGAAATAATCCTTGAACTCGATTACTTCCAGACACAGCACAAATTACATCCTCCCGATCGTAACGTCGCAGAAAATAACCGCCAAATAGCAATTATTTCCGCTCGACGACACGATCGTAAAGCATGTAATTTTCACCTTACCGACGTATAAACAGATGGAAAGGAAAAATGAAAAGGGGACTTACGATCGTCCAGGAGGAACAACGGAACTGAAATGCACTACGCGGCAGACGCGGCAGACGCGGAAGACACGACTTAACCAACTAACATATCGAACGAAACGAACACACGTGGTCTAGCTTGAACAATATGTTACGAAATATAAGAACGAAAAGAAAAAATAATGAAAATGTTAACAAGACACAATCCTTACTGAAACAAAAGTTTTCAGAAAGGAGAGAGAGAGAAGCTACGTACCAAACACCGCGACCGTTCAAGCTAGACTAAAATGGCGTGGTGGAAACGTTGGCTGCGTGCAAGCAGTGCGCGATTGTGGAGCCACCTATATTCGATATATTTATCGTTCGTTAATATTTCTATTAAATAGAAGCAAATACTAAAGAAACAAAGTATGGAATATATTTTAATTTTATTATTCGTTGTACACATACGTGTGTAATGTTTAATAAATTGGAACATCGAAATAATTATTTCCATTCCTACAGAAAATTCCTTCTTCTCATTGGTCGAAGACCGATGAAAGTGACATCTATAAGCAGTTCGTGTAATAACCGAAGGCAACCGTCGTAGCTGTTTAAAAAAAAAACGGTAGAAGTACGAAGAGTTTTTGCCCACTCCTTTGTTCCTGGAAATTCTCGCGATGTTTACAGGTTTAGAGGTTACTTCTTCTCTCATGCGTTAATCTCACTCGTCTTAAAGGTGAAGTCGCATTATAACGTATCGCGTAGTAACGTGAATCATACGAAAATATTTTCGGGAGAAATGCTTTTTCTTCCAACTTTTACTTCTTAATTTTTATTTACGAACATGTTTCAAATACACTCGTGTAATAATAATACCTACGATTCCATTGTAATTTGTTTGCATTAACGATACACATGAAAGCATTCTTTGTACAAACAAAAGGGAGCAGATAAAAAAGTGAAGTTTGATTGTAGCTTTAAAATATAATAATTAAGAATAAGCTTCTGGTCATAGCACCTACAAAATGAACAATTTGAGTTTTGCAATTTTGCCTTCAAACAATTAGGAGAAACCTTTCGTAGATCTTTTTGAAATGTAGCAAATATGCGAGCCGATAGGTATGAATACCTGGAAGGGATTCGAATATCTTTTGTGGTGTCTTCTTTACGAGGGAATGTGAACCCTCGTGTATACTAACGAAGCCGTCTGGCTTCCCTTTCGGATTCTAAGAGCGTTAGTATGTCCCCTTCTCGTACAGGGCCTTTTACATTTCGAATCAGCTGTCTGTTTTGTTCGTTCAAAAATTCCACTTTGACCTGCGTACATTGCCCTTGAGAACCAGTTCTACCAAGAACCTTCACTACCCTTGCACGTACTATGGGCTTCTCCATGTTTCAAAGTTATTAAATTCTCTCGCACTATTACACAATTAGCCGTGGTAACTGGTTTCGACGAATTCCGTAAACTACACTGCCAACTTATTAAACTATTTCAAACGGAATTCTCAATTGTGAATCTCGATGAACGCTTAAAGCGACTGTGCAACTGTATGAAAATTATAAGGAAAAGATTTTCGAACGATGTTAACGTTGTAGACTTTGGAACGCTGTAACATAACAAATAATTTACTATACTTGGTAAGATCGTAATCTTTGATCAGAAGAGTTGAAAAAGTTAAAGGAGCTTTACTTTGGCAGCATTGCTAAAAACAAGCTTAAAATAACTATTCCAGCGTTAGATTGGTCGCTCATGTGCCACGTGCGTGCTTGTGACGAATTTCGAACGGTATTATGTTTCGAACGCGATACTCGTGGGAAGAAACGTTGTTGTAAAATAACGATGAAATCTTAGAGAAAAGTAAAAGCGTTGTTCTTTGTTTTTTTTTACACATTATACAGATGTTTTTATTCATTTGTGCTCTAGTATAAACGTGTCATTCCTTCGGAACACGAATCAGAACACGAAATATGTATTTGAAAATTTACTTCGCAAGGACACTTCTATCCCCGCTTGTATACAATGTCGTTCGTTAAACCATTCTCCTCTTTCGCGCATTTTTTTCTCCCTCTTTCTTGATGTTCGCACACACATTCGCACAGCCTCACACACGTATACTCTTTTTGTTTATATAAAATTACAATACTTGAAAAAAGTGTCATGTACTGTATGCGATACATGGTCGGACAATATACAATACATTGTACATTGACGTGTGGATTTATGTAGTATGTGTCCTAAAAGCGGAAAAATTTTTCATCAATTCTCCTATGCCACGGGTCGTACATATGCGAATATCTGATATTACGTTATATTCGAATTGTTCAGCTAGCAGTAATTTCGAGGGTTCTGCTCGCAAGGATAGTCTCACAGGTTGTAATGAAAAGTTTGCTTGTCGTTATTACAGTCTCAATTCTCGCGAGCCTTGAACACAATACGCGCTGATTCGTGTGTACCATCAAATCTGACGCTTTTTTACTGCTGTTTTTTTTTTCTTAGAAGTCTGCTATGAATAGTAGGTAACTCCCCGGGGTTACGAATATGATCGCGCAGCATTATAAAAGAGAAGGGAAACGACCGAGAAATTGTGAGAGAGTGAGGAATAATAATAATAGTAAAGGAATAACGCAAACGAAGAACGGTGAAACGAGTGAGAATCTCGTACATATTTTGTTTTCAAACGACTGGTACAGGTGTTGCGTTTAGACCTTGGCTCTGTACGTCTGTGTTCCTCTCATTTTCTACGTGATACCTTTATTAGCAACTATTATTAAATATGTAGCATTAACTATAATACAACAGGATTAAATGATTACTTCGTTTCGATTACTTTGTACATCTCACTTTCGTTTGGTGATTGATGTGACGGGAACCAAGATCTAAACGAGTTTGGACACTCTTTTTCTTCTTGAAACGGAGAAAACAAATAAACTGTTTGTTACGCACTTATTGCACCTATCCAATATCACCGTACTCTTGTGTCATTTCCATTAATCCTTATGTTATACACCATCCTGTATGTACATTTTATAGAATTTCTTCTTTTTTTTTTTTATCATTTTTCTTTTTACTCGTACGCCAAACAATTGTTTGCCGATACTGAATCACAGACATTCCATGTTACCATTAGTTAGAACGCATTCGGAATGACATTTAAAAAAATTGTACGATATTCGAATTTACGGTAAAAGTCAACTGTAATATTGACCACTTGATCACGGTATAGCGTATATTGTATATGTATGTAGATACCTATATGTATGTTTACTGTTAATTGCTCAACAACGGTAGAAAAATGAAATGGAAAAGAAGAGAAATAATTGTCGTACGTATAGCGCGCGGTGTGTCGTTGTTTCTTGTCTACATGTTCCGTTAACATCTCCTCGCTTACACGTTACACAATAAGTAAAAATATAAACGATAATAATTATACAGCGTGTCTAAAAATATGGAAATTTTTCGACAACCTCCCACCCCACCCCACCATCTTTCTACGATTCGTGATAGATTACTTTTTCTTCCCTCGTATTACCTTTCTATCGCTAGATACAGCTAGTAATACGTAAAGCATAGAAAAAAAATCGTTCGCTGGTCGTAAATCCGTTATTCGACATAATTGAATGTAATTCTAAACAACTAAATTGGTTCGAACCTGCTTGAAAACGATTCGATTAAGTAAAGAAGATAAACAAGTAACTTCGAAAGACTGCTTCTCGGGAATTTCTAAATATATGTATATATATATATATATATAATACCTAACTATGTACGCGATAAGTACTGGCATTCATTTACGTTGCAATTATGTTCAAAGATAACAGACATGTAATAATTATAATTCGAATACAATTCGCTCCCTTATCCGCTAAAATCAAATAAACCTAACTGAACGGCAGAGAGAAAGATAATAGTTTATCTTAAGCAAGATAGCAAAGTAATCAATTGAATTCACATATATTTGACGTTTGGAATATAAAAATATTTCGATTTAATAACTACGACGACGACGATGAGGACGATAACGACGACGAGGATGACGATGACGATGATAATATTAATAAAGTTCGTCAATTATAACAGTAAGATTATTCTGTATCCGGCCTTGCTTACAACTTTTGCAAAAATGCTATGCCATGAGATCACAAATCAAAGGAAAAGTCTATGAAACATTTGTTGAGCTTTTTTTTTCTTTTTTCATTTTTTCTTTCAGTCGTTGAGTAAATGAACCCGTGGCGATATAAACAGTGCATAGGCCGTGAACAAAATTCCTGTAAAAGTTTCCAAAACCAGAATAATCTCGTTAAATTCATTAACGCACTTGCTCGCATGCCTATTTTCTTTTGTTTTGTTTTTTTCTCTTTAATAATATGCTTCTTTCACCCCTCTAATTAAACGACTACATCGTAATAAATGTAACAATGTTCAGCACTCCCACATAGAAGCAAACGCACAGGCAGCTAGTGATTGGTCAGGTGTGAGTTTTTTTTTTTTTCCTCTTTGTCCCTTAAACGTTATAATTCTCGAATGATCTATAAATGGAATGACGATATGACGGGTAAGGATTGCTCGCGATCTCGTAAGAAACGATTTTTAGTAGAAATTGCGAGGTATCTCGCGGATATACGCGAAGCATCATCGGACACGAAGTAAATGAAATATTTTCTTGGTGCTTGATCGTGTTAAAAATTCTTTTTGTCCGATATGTCAAACGATTATTGGTCGTTCACGAGTATTTGGTATATCTTCGAGGTACCTTCTCGTACACTAATCGTAAGTGAATGCAGCGATCGATGAGAACAATAAAGGATCCGCTCTAATCTTTGATTCGTAAACTCTATTGCTTATCTATCGAAAAAAGTCTATCGTCCGCGTGGCGTACACGCGCTCGTTGGAGGGACCATGAGTCTTTTATGGGCCTAAGGCTCCTGGCGAGTTTGTAATAATTGGCTATAAATGTCTGCGTTTCGATTGAATGTGTAGTACCAACGGTGGTCTCTTCACGGTCTATTTTATCGATGATTTACAATTCCTAACTAATTCTTGCGTAACTCTAGTTTATTAGAAATGCCTAAACGTTCTACGCGTGACGATTCGTTCGTGTCTCTTTGTCTCTTGTATCGTTAGTCTCGCTTTCAAGACACGTTCGACAATCGTGAAACACGTTGCCGTGAAATATAAACGTCGAATGTTTCGTTCGATTATCGTAAACGGTATTTACATAGCGGAAATCACGCAAACTACGATCGGTATACGGAACGCGTTATCAAGAATACAGGCTTCTCCACCAACTTCTCGGCACTTTATCACGAAAAATTCGATGCGTCGAAGCACTGTACACCCCGTAAAAGAACGTTCTAAAGGCGGTCCTGAATTTACTACACATCTGACACCGTTTTTACCTGACGTAAGACATTGGTCAGCGTGTTCAGAAAATAGTGGTCTTCGGGAAGAAATAAGAATGAAAATATTGCATCGCACACCACACTTTCGTACGCGTATCTACGTGTAGGTACATTCTATACTTCTCTGTAAACGCGATACCGAAGCGTTCCGAGCGTAACTATTTTTTCGGCGAGGAAAGTAAACGGTAGTCGCGGATTTCAGTGTGTGATCGAAACGATGAGACGAATGTAAATCGGTGGTGACACACGGTGACCTCTCGATGATCGATCATCCCTCGGCCACTGGCATGCTTTTAACGAAGAGATCGTAACTTCAGTCGCAGTACAAAGTAGGCGATCACCCTCAACGTAACGAGAAAACCTGTCAACGCAACCGCGTCCACCCAGAAGACGGCGTTTTGCATCGACATTTCTTCGAGGAACTTTGTCGGGCTCTTGAAGTGGCAGTACGCGTCGCAACACTTGAGCTTAGCACGATTATAACCGTACACGGAAATCATGGTGCCTTCGAAGCTATATCTGACGTAACTCACGTACGAGAGAAACTTGAGATACTTTGGAATGGCATCAAAATTGACGAAGAAGCCGGAGAAGAGAACGATCGGCACCGACGACACAGGACCGATGAATACTCCACTCTGAAAGGAGAAGGAACATTTCCTTTTTTTTTTTCTCTCCTCCAGTATCGACGAGATATCTTGAAATATCAGCGCGGTTTGTACTTACCTCCACACTCATCGCTGCTCCTATCACTAAACCGATCGATTGAGAAACTAACGCTGTTAATATACATATCGTTAAATACATCATGAATCTATTTGCTTCCAATGGTTGCGACGTCATGAAATATACAATGTTGACGTATGCTATAGAATACACAATCTGGAATAAAAGAACGACACGAAATGTAGAAACGAGCAATCGAAAGCTTTTTTATATGGGATACATACTTGAAAGGGTACATCGACCAGAGTCCTCGCAAGATAGTAAGCCTTCACCGAATACCAGTAATTCAAATGTTCCCTCACGAATACGACCATTTCTGACGGGACTATCTTGGGAAAAGGAAAAAAAAAATATGGGTGTATGGGTGTAAGAAATGCACGATTCGCCTGATTAATATACTTACACGTTAGAATGGTAGGCATCATAGCGGTGAACATGAGAAACATCACCGTGAAGAAAACGCAGCCTGCGTTGCTCATTACTTGCGAGGCGTCGTTGCCGATGTCGTAATAAATCGCACCGATGAGAAACCCGACGATTATATGGGAAATCAGCCTTACTCTCGTTAATGTCTGGAACAACATGTTTTTTTAAGCAAACGAACGAGCGATCGTCGAGCAAGACTTGACGGGAGTACTGACCATGTCTCTTATTTGCGACAAGAATGTTCTCTTAAGGAGGATCCAAAACTGGGTGCAGCTGTTCGTTGGAAAGCCAACTCTCTGTTCTATACTCTCCGCGCTGTCCAGTAGAGAAGTCGTGCAAGAAATTGGCATGTTAATTACCGTTCCACCGTTCGGTTGCTTCGCTACACCGTTCGGTATCAGAGCAGTCTCGGATTTCGTTTCCTGCTGCGGCGATTCTTTCGCTATGTCGTTCGATACAGTCTGTACCGCGTTTATCGTGGCCTGATGGTGCTGGTAATTGGCACATTTACCGTTATTCACCGCCATCACCAATTTATGCACGCATTCGCCGTGTTCTCCGCACGCCACTTCCATCACTGGATGTGAAAAGATTTTCTTTTTAGAGGGAACACTCGGTGGGTGGTGAAACATTCCAATTTTCCCTCTTATCGTAACTCTCGCTTACCGTAATCCGCCGGATTGTGATAACCTGGACATTCCAAGCCCATCGACGATAAAAAGGGCACGAGGCCGCCAACGTTTCCTTGATATATACACTGGCCCTCGGCCAGAAGGTACAAATGATCGAACATCTCGAAGAGTCGCGCGCTTGGTTGATGTATCGTGCATATGATAGTCCTCCCTGTAACAAATCGCGTGTCAGAATACGAGGAGAAAGAATATTTGGGCGATTCAAGTTGTCACAATCACCTCCTCTACTTAATGATTTGAGCAAACTTAAGCATTGGTAACACGTTGAACTGTCCAAACCGGACGTCGGTTCGTCGAAAAACATGACCGGAGGGTTGTTAACGAGCTCCAATGCGATCGATAGTCTCTTTCTTTGTCCTCCGCTAAGGCAATGAGTTTGTGTGTTGCTCGCGTCGCTTAGGCCGAGCGTTTCGATGATTTCTTCGATCTGCGTTAAATATAGTTTGGTTAAGTAAAGCCATCCAGGGTGATTCGTGTGTTTGTTCGTATCTGGGACGCTTCGTACGCACCACCACTTTCTTTTCACCCGCGCTGATATCTTTTCCCAATTTCAAGTTCGCCGAGACCGTCATCGCTTCGTAAACCGTCAGATGAGGCAGGAGACGGTCGTCTTGCATTATGTAACAGGACATTTTTCGAAATCTCCTGAGATTTCGATCCTTTCCGTTGATCAAAACGGAACCACTCAGGTGGGACGTTCTGAAAGCACGAGGTATCGTGATATGCCACTCGTGACGTATCTCGTATAAATCGTTCGGTAACGTAACTCACTTGTAACCAGCTAGAACGTTCATCAGTGTGCTTTTTCCAGCTCCTGACGGGCCCATGATGGCGGTCAGTTCTCCGGACCGGAATTTTCCGTTTATGCATTTTAATATCGTCTTGTATCCTGCAACGTGAAACGTACCAAACGTGAAATTTATTTATTTCACCTTTCCTCTTCCTTCCCGATAAGCTACGCCCCCTCCGTTTACGTAATATTTCGCATTGGCAAAAGAGTACGCGCGATCTTGCCAAGTTCACCGAGAGACTATACTCGCGGCATAGAAATTTCGTTAAGCTGGATAGAGCTGGATTCTCTGGCCGACCTCTTTACGAGCGAGTACAGTTGCACCTCGAAGGTGCATCGGGACCGAAACAGGAACCAGCCTGTATACACATCTCTATTGATTCTTTCGGCTAAGTCGTTCACACATACGTTCTTCGACAAAAATGTATCGCTGTTTTGCGTTACGTTACCACGACCAACCTCTTTTTCTCCCCTCGGACACGCTGTACGCCAGATTCTTGAACTCAATGTCAACCGGTGGCCTCTTCGGTAAATGCGACAATGTCACTGCCGGCCTTTTCCCATCCTGTCCTGGACTATGGTTCGGCACTTTCCTCGCGAACATGCTGCTGCTACAGACCGCAACCACGGCACCATTCGACGCCGCGCTTCCATTGCAGCTGCAGTGAAGATTGTTCTGCGAGTCGCTGGAATACAAACAGAACGACACCTTTACAGTACCAGATAGGAAAACAGCTTTCGTTCGAGACACGTCAAGAGTAATCTTTTAGTTGTTAAGTGTCACTTTTTAAGTGTCACGTGTTTCTTTTCGGTGTGATTTCTTAGATAATAATTATCGATTGTTTCTTTCCACGAAAGCGGCAAAACAAGTTCAAATGGAATTAGCGAGGAACGGCATTCGAGGAGGATTTTCGGCGAGGATTCTCCGATTACAGCTGCTTCCTTTCTTCTTATCTGTCAAATATTTCGTGATTCGTGATTCGGCAGAATCTTAAGATTCGCTTGCCGAACGTGGCTCACGCCGGTGTAAAATGAATTCGAGAAGCCATGCGAGTTAAGCACACGAGGTTCATCACGTCTGTAATTTAATCTCTCGCTTAGTTCTAGTTCTACGGTTTCCGTAAATGTAAGGATTAATCGATATCGCGATCGTTACTGGCTGTGAAATTAACTCGAGCCGTAAGGATAAACGTTGAATATATAATAATTACCGAGAAAACCAGACCCTTCGTGGATCTTTGCTTATCTTTAGTTGTCAAATGGTCAAATGTGTACTATTGCAAACTGTGTACACCTGCAAAAAATTAAACGCACCAGTACGGTTTCCATACGGATACAAAGTGGCTATCTAATTGTAGCTTATCAGAACTTTCGGCAAATTTAATTCGTGTCGATGGAAAATTTTACCGAACGAAGCAATAATCCGTGAGAAGTGTTTGTTAGAGTGTTAACGCGATCAATGGGAAGACCTTGAGTTCCGTTTGCTTGGTTAGTATTTCGGGTATACTAGTCGCGTGTTCGATGTTCACTCTCATCCATTATCAGTGCCGGCAAGGGCTTAATAGAAATCTTATTCGATTTATCTACGTGAATCGAAAGTAAAAATAATTCACAGAAATAGAGGGGCATCCGATGAATTCGACCATTCCACTTTGGCTGTTAGTTCGCGTTTAAAAAAAATGTCCTTAGTACCGAGAGATCGGAGTACGTATAATTGTAATACGCAAGGATTGTACGCGGCTAACATACCAGATAGCCCGCATCCAAAACTGAACAAAGGATCGTTCAACTAGATACGGATTGAAGGTCAGACTGTACCAGACCGAACTGCAGATGAAAGTGCAAACGATCGTATACATAGGACTTCCTTCGCGAATGACATCGCTCTGCTTGATTTGTAGGCTTATCATAATGGAAAAGTTGCGACCTAAGAATACGCTGACAAGCGTTATTGCAAACTGTTGGAAAAGGTATCTCTGAAACGCATATTAAAAAGCAGAATATCGATACACGATGGCTACGCCAGTCAAGAGAAAAGTGTTACCTCGATTCAAGGTTAAAGAGAAGTTAATTCTTCAACTTGGAAGAAAAGTTTCCACGTATTAACGTAGTATTACACGCCCCGTGTGCAACTTGAAATCGTTGAGAATTGGAATGTTCGGAAAATATGTCGTTCGCCCGATCGACGATCGTGTATTTACCTGAGGACAGCGTTATTCAGGTTCTCCAAATGTAGAGCAGGTGGAGGAGATTTAATTGTCACCTGGTGACTTCCACCCGGAATGAACTGCACCTGTTCATCGCCGCTGTATCTAGATCCTCCTCCACTGCTCAGAGTAAGATTCTTTAGATCTGCCATCATCTGTTGATGCTAGAACGATAAAGCATCCGATTAAACTTTACCCGGTTCGATCGAAATTCGATAAATTATCGCGCGAAAACCAGATTTGGTCCATCTTTCTTTTCTCTCTTCTCGTCGAAATCCACCGATTCCTGTTTAACGCGAAACAGACAGAGTGTCGTGTCAGTTCATATTTATCGCGATGGATAATGTAGAAAGAGTTGCGAGTATATATGGTAGGTGGTCAAACGAGCGTAGAAAAAGGAAAATCATCGCTTTGAAAGTATGTATTCTCGGGATAACGTCCGTGAATCACACGCATCTAAAGCAAGGACTTTGGAACTGTCAAAACGGGTTCGTCTACAAAGAGCTTTCTCCTTTCTGCCTCTAGAGCCAGCATTTTCTCTCCTTTTCAGTTTTATTGTCGTGCATTAACCAAACGATATATTATCTGTCATATTGCCGAGAGGTGAATAAATCCCGTTCGAATCGATGAACAAAGCGGGGCACGTGATGTATCCTCTTCTCAACTTCGTTCCAGCTGTAATTTCTTTATTTTGTTCACGATCGATACACACTGATAGAAAGAAAGAAATTTCACACACGCGTGTTACTTTTGAAAGATATGATAACGCACTTGTAATTATCGGGCGGCATTAAAATGCGGAACACGCAGATCAATAGTGAGATATATCCGAATGCCTGGCAATTGTCTATTCGAAGGAATACACTTTGCAAAATACATTTGTACACGGAATTAACGAGGTGACGGTAGCTATTGGACGCGGCCACGTGCCAGAAGTTGCGCTCCCCCTTTCAAAACACGTGGTTCCGTGTATACGTACGTACGAATGCGCGACTTACGAGAAATACAGGTGCGCCTTTTCCCGGAATAATATCTGCAGGTGGTGAAATTTCAATTGGCAATCGGTCTCGATCGATCCAAGAAGGAATTAACAAAATCTAAAGTCTAACGTTACCCTCTATCGTTCGTACGGAGATAACTACTCGTATTAGCGAGGAACGTGCGATCTGATTCGCGTAGAAGAAAACTAAAACGATTGAGCCACGAGCGCTACAAATACTACTCGTTCAAATAGTCCAGATCGTACGATATACTATGTATTTGTCACGGGGCCAACAAACTCGCATACGCGTTATAGTATAGAAATCTCTTACGCGTAAATCGGCCACGAAACGTAAGGCAGGGTCTATGCCCGTTACATATTTGCAGCGTACCGCGCTCTTCTGCGGGTTTGAAACGAAGCTGACAGAACTGCGAGCATGCTCCAATTCGAATAAATGTGCCTTGATGGACACGTGTGATGCTCGTTAGAGCATTGATTCAGCCTCTGCGGTGAAACGTTTGCCGCGTAAAATTTCTCCGTTACACGAAAACTTCTCAACGAGTTTTCGTATCCACGTGCACTGGCACTCTCGAATTCGTCGGATCGATTTTTAAGCTCGACTAAAGGGAACCGTGTGCGGCCAGCGTAGAATTGAATCTTGTGCATCGAAAGCATCGAGTACACCGCCTGCCAAGATCGAAACGAACGTCGTTATTTTCCTTCGTTAACGTGGTTGTTCACGCGACGGACAATGCAGAAAGCAACGAATGATTCACCCGAGTGTTCCCACAAAATTATGCCTCTCCTTTCCACTCGTTCTACGTGTTATCTGTATTAACCGAGCAATTACCAACTGTTTCAACGCTATTTCACGCGTACTGAACATGTGTTCGAACGTAATACAGTAGCGGAATGAAGAAACGGATTGAAAAAAGGTCGGTGAAAATAAATGGGTCATCTTGTAATAAGCGAGTAAAACGATCCGACACTACGCACACTATCTGTCGTTACAAAATGACCAATTGTCCTGATAAATTTTCATCTTGACACAGTTAGAAAATTCGCTTTGTCGGTTTTGTATGGAAAGGTTCGCGTTTCAAGCGAACGAAACAGAGAGAAAAGGAGAGAAAAGTGGGTCTCTGACAGGTCTCAGGCAGGACGGGGGAGAAAGAAAAAAAAGGGGGTGTTGGATTATTATAGACGAGGTTTAGATGATAAAAGAAACAAGCACACACAGAACGAAACGAAGCGAAAGAAGAAATAAACTCTCACCAACGGCCGAAGATAGATTTGAGTATCCTAGCAGCGTCCGAAATCATTCCCCGACGACGACAACGCTGTGCATCCTCTGCCTCTCCGCCCTTTCTTCGCTCACTCCTCCGCCGTGCACAGCAGTGCTACTGTTTACGTGAAAATTCTGTTCGCACAGTGTCGGTTCACAGCGATCACAGGAGACAGAAGAAGCTCGATAGGCCGTGGACGAATCGTTAGGTTGCGCGTTTAATCCTCGCCTTCGTTTTTCCCACGATCGATGAAAGGCTTTTCGAATCGCAGGGCTGCATTCGTCGCACAAAGGTGGAACCTGGATCCGGGTTGAGAAGTGCGAGTCTCCGCTGTGCGTGCACGCATAAGCGAGAATCGACTCGCGGTACCACCGACTAACCGATCCGCGGTATCAACTGCGACTGACAGCCGAGAGAAACGATCGGACGACGACGCATCACCGTCCGGAATCAGCTGTCCCTGCTATGCACCACCGTTCGCCTCTACCAACCAAATGAACTGAGCTGTCCGAGTCGAAACCAGGGACGACTGCAAACCTTGGGGCCCTCTCTCGCTTCACAGTTTCTTCGGCTCTCCTTGCCTCTATATCCAGTAGTACGTACCTCCAGAACACTTTGCGTTACCCTTTCATCACCGATGACTCAGGATATTTTCTTCTAGTTCCTTTCAAATGCTCACAACGATGCTCACCGCCATATGGAACAACCACAATTTCCTCCCAGTTTCTCTTTTATTCTTTCCTCTGGTTTATCTCGCGTGAAAATCACCGAGAGTCGTTCAGACGAGATCTCGTATACGAAATTCCAAAACACCGAGAGTACAAGTGATCGACGACGTAGGATTAATGGATTTACTTATTTATCGACGAGCAAATTTACAGATACTATCTCGGCGAATTTGTACGAACGTACGTTCGGTACAAGATTCTCGAGTGCGGATAAAATCGTGCTTGGCATTTTTTGCCGAGATTCATTCGTACACAGGTACGCGAGGTCTTACGTGAAAATTACATAGAGACAGAGTTCTTGCCGTGAGGAAACACCAATGACTTGGAAGTTTTTCGAATGTTCTGTTATTGGTGGACGTGTTGTCGGGGTCTCGTTATTAATGATACGACGGATGGAATATCTGTTTGTAATTTGCGTGCACGACGCGCAACGTGGTTCGAAGGTGAAGCATTACGATTCTTCGTGGAGGAGCAGCGATAGACTTGGCCGGAGGTTCGGTGCGCGCGTTCTCAAGTTCTGCGGGAGTTTCAAAAGTTGTAGCGGTTCGAACAGGGGCGTAACGGCGTGGTAGCACGTTCCTGCATTTCCTCGCGCATGCACAACAATGTGCTTGCTCGCCGTAGAGTTGAAATTCCCGTGGACGTTCGGGTAAATTTCGACCTCGTGGCGAACGGAAAGAGAAAGGTGTAAAATTGTATTAGATGGATGGAGACGAGGGATAGGTGAAGGAGGCGCGACGTTTCAGGAGGAAGCAAGAAAGAAACGGACGAAGGAGAAAGGAGAATGAGTTACCACATGCTGTGGGTCGATACTCTAGCACCCGTTTCGCGCTAGGTGCGGTTGTACCTACGACGGGTGCGCCTGCACCTGCGAACCGAGCTTGACTCATCGCGAGTGCAAAGAGAGAGACACGACTAGTGCACCAGACGATCGTAGACAAGGATTGGTGTACTTGTGAATGAAGATCGAAGTTTAGCTTCGGTTCTGTACCTGCTCTCTCCCTTCCTCTACCGTTCTCTCTCTCTCTTTCTATCTATCCAAGTACATGTCGAGTGCTTTTACATGCCACCTGGGTATACGTCACGTCGGACTCCTTCTGCAGGGTTCTTTGACAGTGTACCAATGAATTCTTGTATATAGCAAACGAGATATTCTTGCTCTACCGTTACTTCCATTTCTGTTTTAGATGTGCATACATACGCTCGATTTACACGTACATATACTTTCGTCGTATCTACGATTACACTTTATACACGTTTTTCCGCGAATCGACAGGGAAATTAGGGAACCGCATATTTTCTCCCGTTGTAAAATGCGCGAATCGGCTCAGATGGAATTTTATTGCGCGCGATTCTTTGTTTTTGCTGATGCCACGCGTTTGCGGAGAACGCTTCGAGTTTCCTTTATGTTTTGCTTTCTACACTGACTTATCTGCGCGCAATCGAGACAGCAACTGGAGATGCTTCTTCCTAGAAATTTCCCCATTTTTTTCTTCCATTTTCGGAGGGAGGGCTCATGGTACCGGGAGAATATTTTCTGAATTGCGTGTCGATAAAATTCCAACGATAGATTGTCTTTCGTTTAAGGAGCGAACCAAGAACGTATCGACGACAATGGGAATGTATCAAAATTCGAACCCTCGATAAGGGTTGAATGCGTAGGTATACGTTTTCCAAGAAACTGTTCGGAACGGTTGGAAAGTGTTTTTTTTTTTTGTTTTCTATACTTTTATGTGCGATTTCTAAGTGAAGCGTAACTCTTTCTCGGAAGTTTCGAAAAGTATTCCCGGTAAATGTGCATCGACGATACACCTACGATTTGAATAGAATTAAGCGCAAAGTAGAGTTCCTGTTTTACCGTTATTAGTGTGTTTACGATTTGCAGTAGTCACGATCGAAGTTCACATCAAAAGCATCCGTTTACTGCGACGTTTAGTCACGTTTCCGTTTCGCCAAGAAGGAAACCGATGTGTATACGCAAAGTGCATGTGCACTTAACTAAATAACATATTTATGTTGATGAGATAACTGTGTATATGGGAAATTAAATTACGAAATCTTCTTCTTTATCTGTTCTTTCGCGAACACGCGGCGAAGCGTGTATCGATTCCCCCGTTTGCATACGGAAAGAATTTCGATATAATCACCGGGCCGAGCCAAATTTCGCGTAATAGAGACCAGACTGCTTTAGTTATCTATTTTGGGAGAACGGTTTGTTCGACACTGTTGTTGAAATACTGAACATGCGCGTACCAGATTATGCCAGCCAAGAATAGCGAAATGTACCAAACGATAAGAACCTCGAGTGAACTTTTACAAATTTTTTACACACATATGTATATACGTATTCGTAGACGTGGGAAGGTAGAGTTTTCAAGGTCTGCCTTAAAATTTCCGAAATTTTAATCGATTTTCATCAGTCTCGCGATGTTAGAATTACCAGAGTACATACGTACTTTTATGGACTATGATCTTTCCGTAATTTCCAAAGAACTCGTTCCGACTACAATGTATGAGTCACACACATTTCTCGTATCTGGTCGCATGCGCACGATACAAAATTGCAGATGCTACAACATTATACATATGTATATGTATGTACATATATCGTGATTTTTACTTATCCCGTTGTCGATACCATTTCGTTTCTTTCAACTTATGTTCGACGAATATGCTCGATCGTTTATTTTCACCAGAGTTTTCTGTCCACCTTCGGTAGGCCACTTCGCGAGGTGGAACACCTACTGTCGGTAGAGTCATCTTCAGTTCTTCGAACGTTAAGTTTATGGATACTTAGAGAAGAAAGCCTCGAGTTCTCGCATTCCACATCTTCGATTATGGTCGTATAATTACATACGTATATACCTACTCGTTACTCCGTTGTAGCTGCGAGTTATTCGCTTTTTCTTCCTTTTTTTTCTCAATGTCCGGAGTCACGCAATTTGTCGATCTGAAGGTACGAGTCCGTATCTAGATACAAGCCCGACTTCCAAGCGACAAATTACGAGCACAAGAAGTATAAATTCCATCGAGTTCCCCTCTGGTATTGGGAGGATCGATGTTTTCATAATCAGTTCGATTAAAATTGTACATACGTACACAATGTATCGCGATTTAAGCGACTGTTGTATCGCTCTGATTACGCAGTACGTTGATCAGGCCAGGAGGTTCGGTGCAACTGTACTTGATGCAACTGTTTTGCGAGAGGCGAATATCTCCTTCAACGCTAGATGCATTAGAACAAAGGAATCGAGCCTCCGGAGTGATGTTTATTTAGATCCGTTCAAGGATACGATATAATCTTTATCTTCCAGTGTTCTAACTTCAACATATTTCTTCTTTTTTTTTTGTATCGAACTCGTGAAAATTTTCACGCGCATACCCACTGGGCGGGTTACTGGAACACCACGTCAGAGATGTACAATGAAATAGCTGTGAGTGTAACGTTAGAGGCAAAGTACGCGTAAGCGTCGATTATCGATGACTAACGATTAAGTGCATTGTTTCGGTGATGCATCTTAAGTTACAATAATAATTGCATCACACTGTCACAGACGCATCGCTACGTGACAAAGACCTTAATATAAAAAAGAATTGCTCCTGATTGCCTTTTATTATCGTTTCTTTTATATTTTAACCTATTTGCACTCTCGCTGACATGGACTTTTATTCACGACGAAATAAAGCAAATTAACGAAAGAAAGAAATATAAATAAGTAAATAAATTTCTTTTCGAAATCGAACTTTTCATTTTCAACAGTTTCCTAGTGGATCGAATGCCTGGGGAGTGCAAAGGGTTAATATATGCGATATGTTTCTGCCGCCTTGAGAAGAAAATATGTTTTACAATAAACGATGCATCGTTTTAATATCGTAACTTGTCGACGCTCTGAACTAAACGACGCAGGTACATGCAAAGATTAAAAACGGTCATCTTGTAACCATAAGAGCGGTAAAAGTAGCTTACTTTTCTTCACAGAAGATGGCAATATGTAGTAGCTGCATTTCTATGCCGTACTACCATATGTACGTGATCTACCGAGATGAATCGTTTTATTTTAGGAGAATATCACGAGGAGAATCCTCTTGCTATAACACCCTTTTGTTGTATTGTATCGCGATTAACCGCTTTGCCTGAGCACAGGTAACGAGTAACACATCACCAAGCACCTTAATTGATAAGTGTCCCCCGCTGAATAGGTGAAGTCTTCCTTTCAATGGTATTTCCTTCGAGTGAAACGATTCATGTGAACAAAGTTTGTTCAACAAACTGCACAAGTATGCATTAAAGATAGCAATTTTACAGGTGTTTTCAAGGTAATCTGAAATTATTATCAAGCTTGAAATCTATCGTATAGATGTCCTTTAGATTACAACTAATGTGAAATATAATTGACAATTTTGTAAAAAGTTTCGATGAACTATATGCGTATATATGTACTATATACTTTGAAAGTTTATTTTATCGACATAGACGTAATATTCAATTGGTTGCAAAGTTTGTATTACCCGTATGCGATATATGGTTGAAATGAATGAGCAAATGCAAGAGAGAAAGAGTTACTTTCATGACAGAGGTCGCGATTAAACGCTTACTCATACGTAGTATGTTGCGAATTTTTAGCATTTGATGTGCAAGGTTCGTGTCCGTCGAGAATCTGTAGTTCACAACAAGTTCCTTTAATTATTAAAAAGTCTTTCACGATTTTCGGTTATCGAAGGCATATCAAAGTCAACGATAAAATATCCCGCCCGTTTATTACGATCGGAATAACGCTAGAAAGAGACAGGTATCCTCGTAAGCAGTAGTACCCTGCAGATACATGATTGCCCAAGAGAGTAAAGATAATATAACGGAGGAAGAGAGAACGAAGGTAACCTTATAGGACGGTAGAAGGGATGCGACGAAATCAGCCGTAATTCGTTCAGGCTGTTCATTTATATAGAAATACGTTGAAAATGTTTGAGCCTACGGAACAGGGAAAGGTGAGAACCGTTTGTAAGTTATTGGTGTTTTTGTATTAGTGGTGTAATTGTGTTTTTCGATGTTAAATGCGTTTCGAATGTCATGCTCTGTCAAATTCGTATATGACGTAAACACTCGTGCCACATGCAATACTTGCGATATGTCATTAAGAAGTCACTAGGCTTTGTGTACAAATGTAAATTATTAAATGTCGTTCATCTTTATTTCTACGTTCGTTATACGTTGTTGTCATCACGTGTTTCGGTTAAATTCTTGTATTTCGGTAATACGATGGTGACACTGTCAGCGAGATCCTAAGATTTGCTCTCATTCTGACATTGGTTATTCTCAATGTAGTATATAAATAGTACAGGTGTATTGATAAACGTGTGTCGAATAGTTCTACTCATTCTGTGTTTTATAATTCATTTTTATTAGGATCTGTGCATTCATACGGGAATTGTTCTTCGAGGTGCAAATACAAGGGAAGACGAGGTTCACAGCTTAGGCACGTTGAATATTGTTGAATATGTAAGCAGTTCTGTTATAAGATACAACGTGTTAATCGAAGCAACGTGTATTATCTGTTTGTGAAATTGCAGAGTTTTGGGAAATGTATAGAATGGAAACCGATAGAGGATTCTGTAGTATCGGAGAATCAAGATCAAGACCCAGAGTGGTCTTTGGTAGATACTCATACCAGACGTACTCATACTTCTTCGGAAGGACCAGATTCTCTTGGACGTACGAGGACTGTTAGAATTTTATTCTCAGATTTGAACTCCTTTCGTGTGAACCATAGGGGGCAACAGCTCATATTTATGCAAAAAGATGGTACCACCTATGTTGCCTTCTTTCAGTTATCCAATGCTGAAAGCTTTGTAAATTCCTTGAAAGGTTTCATTAAATTTGTTAAGTCTCGAACGAATAGAAACTTGTACATTGTAATGGACGAAGTGCAGTCTGTACTGACTAGATCGTTCGCGGAATTAGACTTATTTCAAGAGAATACTTCGGACTATGTTTGGAAGTTTGTGAAAAATCTACATAACCGTCCATATGAAACAACATTGGAAGCATTTAGTAAACTGGCAGATATTTGGTGTAAGTGTAGGAAAGGATCGAAAATAATATCGCGTATATGGTTGTTAGCTGGTTGACAAATCATGTGTCCATTTTAAATTGTAGTATACAAAGAACCCGCTAAACGGCCAGTTGAGGAAGCAGTGGCAGATTTGTTAAACAGTTCTCTTACCATCGATGTTCCTCACCCACCGGTATCTGTAGGTTCTGGAGAGGAATATGAAGTGATTGGGGGACATGCATTGGGTGTGACATTACCACCAAGACCACCTTGTCCAAGAGGTACGGTGGAAATAGTGTTAGATTAAATCACATTCTTAAAGATATATAAATGTACACGATTGTGTTAGGTACACCACTGTCGCAAGAACAGTGGAACAAATATAAGGATCCAGAGGGAAGAGTTTCAAATCCAGAAGAAGTAAAAAATATTATTTTTCGTGGGGTTTGTACAGATATAATTTAAATGCAAGTTAGTAGTTAGAAATGGCTGCAGAAATCGTGAAAGAAGGCGTTAAAACTTGCAGGGTATTGTACCATCGTTACGTTTTGAGGTGTGGAAATTTTTATTAAATTATTACCCGTGGAACTCGACACATGTTGAAAGATTCGAACTGAAAAAAAAGAAGATTGATGAATATTTTATGATGAAGTTACAATGGAGGTCTATGACCCCGGCACAAGAAAGCAATTTCTCCGATTACCGGGATCGAAAAAATTTGATAGGTAGCACGGAACTATTTCGGTAAATTTCTTTCTATAGAAACTAACAATTGTAACGTATAACACAAATTTTAGAAAAAGATGTGAACAGAACGGATAGAACACATCCATATTATGCGGGTGATAACAATCCACATTTAGCACAATTGTATGATATTCTTATGACCTATGTAATGTACAATTTCGATTTGGGATACGTTCAGGGTATGAGCGATCTTCTCAGTCCTATTTTATGTTTAATGGAAAGTGAGGCTGACGCGTTTTGGTGCTTCGTTGGTTTCATGGATAAAGTGGTAAGTTTACATAATAGATTTTCAGATAGAATAATCGATGAAAAGTGAAAATCAACGTTAAATTGTTACGCACAAAACAGAGTACCAATTTCGAGATGGATCAAGCTGGAATGAAAGCCCAATTGTGCCAATTATATACTCTTTTGAGTACTGTAGATCCACAATTAGCAAATTACCTGAATAAACATGATTCAGGCAATATGTTCTTTTGTTTCCGTTGGCTTTTGGTATTATTTAAAAGGGAATTCCACGCGTTGGATATAATGAAATTATGGGAAATATTGTGGACTAACTTACCATGTCCAAATTTCCACCTGCTTTTGTGTGTGGCCATTTTAGATACGGAAAAAGTTCCGCTTATGGAAAATAAGTATGGTTTTACGGAGATATTAAAGGTAAGCATGTGAAATTGTACGATTAAAAAGTGTTTTCTTCTTAATTAACACATGTGTGCTTTACAGCACATAAACGATCTTTCACTCCATATCGAGTTACCTTGGACATTATCCAAAGCAGAGGGCATTTATTATCAACTAATGTCGGTTGCGGCCCAGTTACCTAATAACGTTCGTACAATAATTGGCCTTGAATCTTTGAACAGAGAATCTGCAGCTGGTGATGCAGAAAACGACGAAGCTTTCGGCCATAACGCCCAAGCTGATGGAAATAATAGTAATTCGAGGAGAAATAGTACAGAAAGTGGCAATGTTAAGTTCGGGGCTAACGAAGTGGCGTTCGAACGTGGATTGAACTTATCGTACATGTGAGACCAGGATCGGTCGTTTATCATAATTTAAGGAACGTGTTGTACTACATCGCAGTCAATTTTGTAAGGTTCATTATTTTTTTTTTTGACTGTGTCAAAGTGAACATATAAGCATTATTTGTTGCAACAATGCAACGAATATGCCTTTCCGGCTTTTAACGAACTTTATCGTACGAAACTGACGATGCTTTCTACGAAATATGCTAGTTTACGAAAGTGTTTCGTATCCTTTGTATCAAACGAATCATTTCGAACGAAATGTGCGATACTAAACACACATTTCGATCGTGAAACTCTGAATTCTACTGTGTGCATGTTAAGCAGTACCTTGAATTTACAAAGTTACAGCGAAAATTATTGTTAGTAGCGTTGAATTTTGAGATATTTATAAAATTCACTATAATTAGGAAGAGATTACCGATCGCGCGCCGTAATTATACTAAATAAAAGGTAGTTTCATACAGGCGCATGTTCTTAACGATACTTTTGATGCACGTGAATTTGAAAAGAAAAAAAAAAAGGAAAAAAAAAAACGAACAGAAACGATTTACAGCGTATTTTAACTTCAACCGATGTTTATGCTCGTGTCATTTTCACTTAATTTCAAATGTCTTTTCCAGATCTGTATAAAATCACAGGACAGTACTGTATATTTTTAATAAAAATCATTCGTTTAACCTTTGATATTGCAAATTCCCTGGAAAGTGTGTTTCTTTCTCATCGGAACACGATGTCAAAAATTCGCATTACTAGAGTATCGCGGATATTTTTTGTCAGCGAAGAAATAATTAGTAGAGTAAAGTCCTGGTTTGCGAGATTCTTCGTTTGATGTCTCGTCGATCGTAGTTTTTTTGCGGGTTCTCGTGAAAGTGTAAACAATGATATTTCTACAAAGATAATTTGTTTTTCCTTTGGACGGAACAATTGTAAGATATGGAATTCGCTGCCATAAAGCGTGGCAAAAGTCGGAAAAAGAGGGGACATTTGAAAAAGCGACGTCGCGAACAAATCAAATTTGAGGTTAAGCTTGCGAAACATCGAGAATTCGTTTTAGAGCGTAGCAATATTTCTCTCGCCAAGGAGAAATTTATCGGCAATACGATGCAAGCTAATTCTTTCTGGGAAAATTACACCGTTGCTCAAGAGTGGCAAAAAAGGTTAGTCGATGGAATTACCAACTGTGCACAAGGTGGTCCAGGTTTTTTCCTGTCGAGTTTGAATATTTCAGTTGAATAATATTTTAGACACAGCGTAACGTGGTGGAGAACACGTTGCATCGCACTGGAACACGAGAATCAACGATTAAGAGATGTTTTGAAATCATTGGTGTGCCAGAATGCTCAAGGAAGCTCTTCAAAGGTGGATAAAAAGAAAAGGTACAAGCAGCAGCAGCGAAACGTGGAAGGAGAGGAAGAAGAAACAGCGTCTAACGAAGAAACTGAAAATTTGGAATTTCACGTAAACGAAGATATGATGAGTTTTTTGGAGCAAAGCATGAGACATAAAATTGAATTGAAACAGAGAAGGGAATCTGAATTGGTGATTGAAAAAGCAAAAGAGGACGACGAGGATGGGTGTATTCAAGGGGGAGCTACGTGGATACACGCAAGGAACAGCAACGCTAAATTATTGTACGGGGAAGCTAGTCCTACGATATTAGCGATGGAAACTGCCCTTCAGACAACAGTTGACAGACACAAAGATAAGGCAAAACCTCAGTATTGGCCAATTATACCTTTAAAACCGTAAATTCTAGGATACGACGATTTAAGTTTAAATATATTTAAATATGTATTTTGTAAGGAAGAGAAAAATAAAAGAAATTGTTTTATATTTGTTATACCCTCCATTGCTGTTTGTACCATCGCTTATCCACCGATGCTATTTCACTCGTGCATTCGACTCGCGAGAGATGACGCTATCTACGTCTTTCTCGTCAGAGCGCGCCAGCATACGATCTATGGATCCTCGACTAAAATATCGCCGCTTGGATTTCGAATATTTCTGCGCGTAGGAAAATTGAGAAACTGCGAAAAATATCATTCGCTTATATAAAATACATGTTTTGTTTATCGAATCGATATAGTTTATATTTTAGATATGTATATACATACTTATGCAGGTATAGAAAAACGCTTAAGGGTCTCGAAATGGTGGCTAGAGTCGCTCTGTTACGAGATATATCAGGAGAAGCAATTAATCGCTGATTTAAATAGCCTGATGGATCGATATCGGTAGCCTGGAAGAGTAATAGGGCTTTCGAGTGTTTATGCAGGTAGAATCTAAAAAAGTATGCTTACGTTGTATTTTTACGTTGGATGCCTATATGTATCGGAGGAGAGGTAAAGGAAAAAGGAAAGCATCGAGCCGCAAGACAGATAGTCAGAGGCCTATGAACTCCCGCTTACGAGTACCTACACCTAACGTATCCATATGCAACGTTTACGCTAAAGCATTATCTGTACGAGAACCTTTCTGTGTATCTGAATGGGAAAGGGGATCACGAGGTCACCGTAGGCGGTCTAGCAACATTCTAGAACTTTGAAAATTAATCGAGACTCGCGCTGATTGAACAGTCGTGTTACGATCAATAGAAGAGCATATGTTTGTAATTGTTGGATTATTATTAAAGTTGGTCGTGTACGGTGGATGATAAACGGAGAAGGTTGTAGATGTTGCGAATTGATTTTGGTAAAGAGCGACAGCCGAACAGATATAGGGAAGGGTGGTCGTCCTGGTCGTGTATCGAAGATAGATTAGAAAAAGACGTAGGAAAGAGTTTGGTCAGTCTGTCAATACGTTATCTCACGGTCGATCCGCTGACACGGTCCATGGAATTTTGGGACCAGTTCGAAAGGTTCCAACATCGATATTTCGGTCCAGAGAAAGCCCCTAATTATCGAGATAACGCGTGTCGCGGTGTCGATACGGGTTACGTATCGCAACCCCACCTTTTTCTACACTCCCACGGGATTTTTGGATGATTTGCTAGCTTTTTCGAGGCTGCAGATATATGGAATAAATTTATCGATTCGTTTAGCATTCTCCTGTGGCGATTCGTGAAACAGGTCAAGGGAACAGACTCGTAATTTTTCACCGACGAATTTTTTCCCAAAGATTGAAGTAACCGATCGACACGTGGATGTTTTTCTCGATTTGCAAGAAACCGGTCGTTCCTACGCAAAGTGGGCTCAGTACGTACAAGAGGCGTTTTATATCCAGCAACAACTTTCATTTAGATCTTTATCGATCAACTTTCACGGTACACTCGCATATCGTTCTTTATTGCCTCGCTTTTGACGTTCCCGCGACGCTTTTCCGCGATTCCACCGCGTTGCCCTACGCTCGTCAAACTTTTCGCGCGTCGACGATCAATTTTCGAGGAACGTTTCCGACGTCTTCCGACGTTAATTGAAACTAACGAGGCAAGTTTTCCACGTTGGTCTGGAAATAAGACGGAAGGTGAGCGGTGATCTCTGGTTCTTCTGCCTGCAGTCGATTTCCGGGTAGAGTCCGAGGTATACAGCCGAGTGTGGCGTAATTTGGACGGTTGGTCTCCGCGCTTCAGAATCATTCCGCGGAACATTTGCGACCTCATTGGAACGCTTTAAGGCCTAACTTTCGTGCAACGCGTCAAGACAGCGGCGAGAAGGAGAGAGTAAGAAAGTGAGTGCTGGAGGGAGGGAGGAAGGAAGGAAGGAAGGAAGGAAGGAAGGAAGAAAGAAAGAAGGAAAGAAAGAAAGGAAGGAAGAGAAGGGGTTTACTTTTTATCGGGTCCGTGTCATTAGTGGCCGCAACGAGTACTATAAGTTCGTATCAAGGACTCAGAAGTCCGAGAGATGTTCGGGAGACGAGGATGACGAGGAGGATGCGGCACGGGGATGAGGACGAGGACGAGGACGAGGACGAGGACGAAGATACCGAAGTACCTACCACCGTTCGCCTTATTAGGCCTCATCCTCTCTCCCTCCGTCCTTTCTACCCCTCTCAGGCCCCTTCCTTCTGCTTTTAAAATCATGGCTGCACGTAACCGTCTACTGATTATATGGATTCGGCGATGATTTCTGATGATGCCCCCGACCCCCGGAATGGTAAAATAATACAGTGTCGTCTCCTAGCCTGGACCCTTTCGGGTCCCGTGGGCCGGTTCGTTAGCGGGGCCTTGGCGCGAGGCACCCTGTCATTATGCGGCTGGTCTCCATCACCCCCACCAGTTCCCAATTTTCAGTGCCCCTCTACTACGCCTCGACGAAATCTCTTGCCTCCTTTTCTTCCCTTTTGCTTCGTCTTCCTCCCAGTCATCCTTTTTTCCCACTCTATTATTCTACATTAGTACGGTTCGTTACAGTTAACTGGAAAAAGAAAGGTCGAGTCCAGATGCATTGCGGGCTTCGGCTGACATAGAGAGAGAGAGAGAGAGAGAGAGAGAGAGAGAGAGAGAGAGAGAGAGAGAGAGAGAGAGAAAGTGAAGACCGGTGAACAACGCGTGAATATGAAATTGTCCATCGAGTTCTCTCCCCGCGAGTAGTCCGCGTCTCGAAATCACGTTTTTCACGAAATTCGAGCGCGAAACTCTAGAGCCACTCACGACTACTGCGGACATTCGAAACTGGTAACTCGATCGCGCTCGGTCCGGCTTATACCATCGTTGCACGTTCGCTCGCAAGAAACGTAGTTACTTCTTCTTCTTCTTCTTCTTCTTCTCCTCCACCGCCATCTCCTCCTCCTCCTCCTCCTTCTTCTGGCTCGACTGGACATTTTTCAGCGGAGAAGAACAGTGCTTTTCCTATTGTACTGCTTCGCGGAGGAACGGGGGTAGTTTGTTTCGTTCGGACAAACGGTCGTTGTTTGAGAAGAGTCCTTGCAAGCAAAGTTGGGGTGTAGGTGGCCATCGCAATCATTTCGCTTAATGACGAGAGCTTTGTCGGTCCTTCGACCACGGATTATCGCAGCCCGCTCTTTCCTCGTATCCGACAGACCACTTTGCTTCTTTCCACTTCTTCCTCGCCTTCTTCTTCTTCTTCTTTCTCCCTTTATTTCCGAACTCTGTAATTTTCCCCTAGCGGCTGTGCCACCATGCCGCGCCGAAATTGGTGTACACCGGAAAGATTTCGTAGAAATCCCCGACGTTCTTTAATGGGAAGGCGTTTGAACGGTGACAATGGCACTTCTGTTGCAGAATCTCTTTCTCTCTCCCCTCGAAGCGAAGAAGAAAAAGTATCGATGGAACGGGAGAGGAGGAGGAGAAGAAGGAAGAATCGCGAGAGTCAAGGAGAATTAGGAGGAGGACAATCACGGAGAAAATAAAAAGATCCAGAAAAAATGTTGACTACAAAGAAGACGGAGGGGGCAACGACGACGACGAGGACAACGAGGAAGAGGAGAAAGAGGAGAAGAAGAAGAGTCTGTCGTCGATATCTTGGTTTCGGGCGAGCTTGGATCAATGCGAGGTATGTACGTATGTTGAGAAAACGTATGCGATTCGGAGAACAAAAGCGGCCGGGAGACGCAAATTTATTCCGGTCTAATATTCGGTGCACGAATCGGAATTTGGCAACGGTTGGAGAGTAGCAGGATCGCGATCAGCGCAACGCGTTCGGGATCTCTTTTCTCCTTGCAGCACCTGCGAAAGATCGGGCCGTGTGGCCGATGGCTGAGCAAACAATACGAACGATGATGCACCGTCTCGAGCGCATTGTCCGTAGCGAGTAGTAGTAGGCGGCGGATTTATCTGCCTACTCGTAGAGTCAGGTAGAGGAGCCAAGGGTCCTCGACCCGAGAGAGACGCGTCGCGCGAGCCGACGGGACCGATGGATCTTCCTTTCGTTCCAGCTCGATTTCGCGCTGGAACGTTGACATTTCCGTTGATCGTGCCATGCCGTCGAACCTTGAGCGAGTTCTCTACGGCGCGGCGGGAACAGGTAGCCGAGTTTCCGGCGAGTTCGACGCCTAACTGGTACACAGAAGCGAATGCACAACGCGCCAGATATCGACGTAGCAAGTAGCTGCGCGCTAATCTGAATTCTTCGCGCATATGAAATTCCAGCGCGTGCCTCTACAAGGAATTCGTTAATTTGTTCCTCGCTTTTTTTTCGGCTCGAGCTTTTAGATTCTTCGTGGCACCCGTTGCCGCGAGTCGTCGTGAGTCATCGCCGATACGCGCAATTATTAACGCGCGAATTTATCACTTACGCTCTACCGCGGGCAAATCACACGGTGATCTATGCACGGACCGTTGCTAAATATATTATCGAACCGCGCGATTATTCCGGAAACCGAACAGTTCCAGACGCTGTATCGAGTCGCGCGTGGTATCTCATGCATCATGCAGCCAACATCGATCTCGTGCCCTCCCAGGGGACGTGTTAACAGATCGTCCAAATTAATGTGCCGCTTCCTGTTAGGATGCAAATTTCCCCTAACTTCGCGTACCGTGGACACCGTCGTCGCGTCGCTGCGATTCGCAGCTTAACCTAACTGCGTTTGCAGGACACGATAAGAAGCCCACCCCTCGTAATCTTTTTTCTCCCTTTCCTTTGGTTCAACGACACGCTCGTCTCGTCTGTCCGTCGAATTTCAACGATTTCGGGGCAAGAAGCGAAAATTCGTAGCCAGCATGCAAACTATCCCGAATCTCTCTCGTCACGTTACGAAATTCCAGGACCTTTGGCACGGGCGTAGAAGAGGCTCGTAGGGCTGACCGCGGAATGAGCGCCGATGGTAAGTCAGTTCTTCGCATACCGGGCGCTCAGGTAGGTTGGAAGGCGGCGAACGAGCTGAACGAGGAAAGAAACGAGAAATCTGTGAGGCGAGAGAAAGAGGAGGAAATAGCAGCGGAGGGGAATGGGCTCGAGATGGAGTAAGACGAAGAAGTGCGAGGGGGGAGGGGGAGGCCCAAGCAAGCGGGCATGCGAGCGAGCGAGCAAGCAGGCAGGCAGGCAGGCAAGCAGGCAGGCAGGCAGGCAAGCAGGCAGGCAAGCAAGCAAGCAAGCAGGCAAGCAGGCAGGCAGGCAGGCAGGCAGAGAGAGAGACAGCTCCCCTCTCCAAGATGGCCGCCGTTTGGGTCCAGCCGGGTCCCCCTGACCGAGCCAGCCGAGTCGAGCGAGTCAGGGGAAGGGTAGGCCTTGCAGGTGCCGCCATGTCAGTGCATGCCTAACCTCGAAGCCGCGCGGAACGGACGCTGGGCCTAAGAACGCGACACCTCGTGTTGTGCGTTTGCTTCTCGCCGTTGCTCTTTCGGCCCCGAGAGAAAGAGTAAGAGCCACGTTCGGGGGACCACGTAAACTACTCGCGAGAGTCCGTGCGTTTCGCTCGATTCATCGTATGTCCCCGCGATCCTTGCACCGACAACACACGTACACACATCGAGAAAGAGAAATACAGATAGAGAGCGGAGGGGGAGAGAGAGTGAGAGAGAGAGAGAGAGAGAGAGAGCGCGCGAGAGAGTGAGAAAAAGAGAGAGATTGAGAGAGAGAGAGAGAGAGAGAGCGAGCGAAAGGAGAAGTCGGAGAGGAGAGTGGATCGGAGTAAATCGTCGTACGATACGCGCGACGGGAAGGAAGTGCGTTGTGGTTCGTCGACGAGGTCGGGCAAGCGGCGAGTGATTTTTTCGCTGGTTTTATGCTCGTGTCGCGTTCGCGGTTCGTCGTGGCAGGCAGTGTGCGTCGCGTGTGACAGTTTGGAAGGAAGGGACTCGAGGCTGTTTCGGTACGAATGCAACACAGCTGGATGCTGCGCCGCTGCTCGGACCAGTAGTGCGGTGGTGACGGGTCGTTCGCATTTCCCACAGAGGAGGATCGGTGAAGCCACGAGAAACGGCGAGCCACGCGGAAGATGAGAAAGGGAACGGAAGCGTAGATCTCGGCGGTGGAGCGAAGATAAGGCGCGGAGGGTGAATTTTTTGAGCGTATCCGACGGGAGCCGAGAGATGAAGGCCGTTCCAGACGCGAGACGATCGCGGCGGGTTCGCGATCGGTCGTGTTGATCGTGCAGTTTATCGGGCGTGGATCTAACGAGGCGAGGATATTCCAGCAATAGCGAGGACAGTGTAGAGGAACGTGAAAGAGGGTCGAGAGGAATTTCCACGGCGTTTCGCGAGCCTCCGCGAACGGTACACACGTGAACGCACAGTAGAAGGGGGCGGTGGAAGTGTTTACACGGGAGGAACGAGCAGGGTAAAACGTGATTGTGGTTGGTGGTGGTGCTGCTAGTGGGTGATTAATGTGCCGGTTGATCGCGCTTTCTTCCGCCGGTTTTTTTTTTCGCTACGTCGAACGGAACGCGTATCGAGCAACGGAGGAGGAGAAAGGGAGAGAGAGAGAGAGAGAGAGAGAGAGGGGGAGAGAGATCGTCCTGGTGGCCGCATGAGGAATACTCGGAGGAATCGCACAGGAATGGAAAGGTCGAGATAATAGCGCGAGACGGTGGAGGTGGAGGAGGCGACGGCGGTGGAGGCACCAGGATGCCGCACCTGCTACTGTTCCTCGTCCTGGGAGCGACTTTCGCCCCGGGCACGTGGTCCGAACTCGTAAGATACTTGGAGGTCTCGGAGAACGCTCGACCGGGCACCAGGGTGGGTTTCATCGACGCCGACAGCCCGCCCTACTTGATAGTGTCCGTCTCGGGGTCCGCGGTCGACTCCGACTTGACGGTGGATCACGCGACGGGAGAGATAAGGACGAAGGTGGCGTTGGATCGCGAGACCAGGCCCTCCTACAGCCTCGTCGCGTTGCCGCAAAACATTCAGGTGGTGGTGAAGGTGCTCGACGAGAACGACAACGCTCCTACCTTCCCGGTGGATCACGTGGACGTGGAGTTCCCGGAAAATTCGCCCCGCGACGCTAAGCGGGCTCTGCCGCCAGCCAAGGATCCAGATCTCGGCCAGTACTCGACCCAACGTTACGAAATCGTGTCCGGGAATCACGGGGACGCGTTCAGACTGTCCCAGCACCGTGGCCGCGACGGCGTGCTCTATTTAGATCTGCAGAACACCGGTTCGTTGGATCGCGAGGCTCGTTCCCAGTACCACTTGGTGATAGAGGCGTTGGACGGTGGCGGTCCACCGTTACGCACGAGGCTGCACGTGAACGTGACGGTACAGGATGTGAACGACAATCCGCCGATCTTCAACCAGACGAGGTACGTCGCGAGTATCCCGGAGAACGCGACCGTCGGCACGCCGGTACTAGCTGTGAACGCAACGGACAGTGACGCGGGCGACAACGGCCGCATAGAGTACTCGATCAATCGACGACAATCGGACCGCGAGGAGATGTTCCGCATCGATCCGGAGACCGGGATGGTCTACGTGAACAAGGCGTTGGACTTTGAATCGAAGGAGAGGCACGAGCTGGTGATCGTGGCTCGGGATCGGGGCGCGCAGCCTCTCGAGGCGAGCGCGTTCCTCTCGGTCCGCGTAACCGACGTGAACGACAATCAGCCTGCGATCACGGTGATCTTCCTTTCGGACGACGCGACGCCCAAGATCAGCGAGAGCGCCCAGCCGGGCGAGTTCGTCGCGAGGATATCGGTCAGCGATCCCGACTCGAGGACCGAGTATTCGAACGCGACTGTTACGTTGACCGGTGGCGAAGGCCACTTCGGGCTGGCCACCAGGGACAACATCATATACTTGGTGGTGGTCGAGAGACCGCTGGATCGCGAAGAGAAGCCCGTCTACGACCTGTCGGTCGAGGCGACCGACGCGGGCACGCCTCCGTTGCGAGCGGTTCGAACGTTTCGCCTTCTCGTCACGGACGTGAACGACAACGCTCCGAAATTTGCTCAAGAGAGGTACGAGGCCCACCTGTTGGAGGCCTCCGAGCCAGGTACCCCGGTTCTCAAAGTGACCGCGACAGATCTCGACGAAGGCGCAAACTCCGCCATCAAGTACTCTCTGCTCAACTCCACCTGGTTCACCATCGACGATACCTCCGGATTAATATCGACCAGGACTCACGTGGACTGCGAGGCGGATCCCGCGCCGATTCTAGTGGTGATCGCGACGGACTCGGGTCGTCCGCCCCTGAGTAGTAGCGCGACAGTGCGCGTTACGGTGCACGATCTCAACGACAACGAGCCCATCTTCGAGAAGCCGCTCTACAACGCTACCGTACCTGAGGATATGCCCGTTGGACGCTGCTTTCTCAAGGTATTATAATTATCTTCGCTTATCTCTTCGCATGCAGTCCTTGCGTAACCTGCAGCGACGCTGTCTTTCCCAACTACATACCACCGCGAATCCCCCTATTCCACGACAGATTGACGTTCGTCGATCTTCGACAGGCGAAGTCTCCTAATTGATCCGTCATCGCCGAGACCGATCGACGACGGATCCCCGCGAGAGATACGACGCGAATTAATAGCGCGAACCAGGCGAGCGGGCTTCCACCGCTTCCCCACGGCGCCTGCAATCGTCCTCTTGGTCGTCGTTGCCCTCGTCGTTGTCCTCGTCGTTGTCCTCGTCGTTGTCCTCGTCGTTCTTGTTGTTAAAGGTTTGCGGTAAATGCACGAGCCGGTCGAAAGGGCATCCGCGGTGCCCGCGAGCCACGTATCCACGTTACGCCGAGAAACTCGTGATCGTTACCGCCGCGTTTCTCCGCTATTTCTCTCGCTACCAATTAGTAGACCCGTGTAATAGTACCGGAGAGTATTTCCAAGGATGGAAGTTTCGATCGTCCGTTCTCGACGTGATCGATTGTTCTTTCTTACTCGTCTCGGTCGAAGCACAATTGACCCGTTGTCAGTGTCGAAATAAACTCTTGACGCGTTGATTAGCATGCGAGGCGGGTTTCATTGCTACCGTCTCTCTCTCTCTCGAGAGAGAGCACGCGCGTACGGTGCGCGCACAAGAAGGTGAATGAGAAAAGCGTCGCTCCGGAGGCGCGTAGTCGGTGACCTCGAGCCGAAAACCGCACGAATGGAACGAAAGACACGTGGCCGGGGTGCGTTCCACCGGCGCGGCGAAGGGAAACCTGTTGCGAGCTAGCGAACGTTTTCTTTGTAGCAGCGGCGAGATGCTCTTCCCCGAAGCGGTGTTAGAGCGAGAACAAGTTGCTCTGGACGCCGACGTTGCTTTACGAGCCGCGCACGATCGCCAGACCTTTATGGCGCGCGAGCGTATTTGCCGATCCCCCGAGCCGGCGTAACGCGCGCGTTCCTCTCCGTAAAGTCGAGAGACGAACAACCCCGGAGAGAGGTAAACCACCGGTGCTGGCCAACTAATTCGAGAAATCGCCGATCCTCGAGGCGCGAACGCGTCGCGCGTCGCGCGTCGCGCGTTTCTGAAATTTGAGACGCACCCGCGAACGGGATTACGCGTGCGCGTTACCTCCTGTGTCCCCTTTTAAGGACGATCGTCTTACGCGTGTGCCGTGTAATCGCCGAAAGTAATACTATACTTGTGCGCTCGTTTGCTTACGATAACGAAGTCGTTACGCGTTCTTGCTAATAACCCATTTCTTTCCCCGTTACTCGCGTTATCGAGGAGGGTTGGTTACGAGGGAGAAGAGGGAGAAGTGAAAAGCGTCCGTGATTCGTAAACACTGGTGATCCGTGGGCCGTGGAGCCCGTGCGCGGCGGAGCGCTGGTCCGTCCGTCTGGTCGAGCGAAACGCGTGCCTTCTTTTCTCTCCGATTGGATTGTCATCCGCGTCGAAGGGAGAAGCGGTGCACACCGAAATTGAGAGGAATAAAATTTTCAATTGACCGGTGGGCCGCAGACGCACGTATCCGGTAGGTGGCCGGACGTGTTCGCGTTCACCACGACTCAGAAGTTAATCACTGCCCCGAAACTTTCGTACGATATATATTTTATTGGCGTTTCGTTGCCTAGTTCAATGATGATTTATAATTGTTGCCCGCTCCGCTGTAATTATTATAATTACAGATTTTTCGTCGGGCCTCTCCGAGCCGAACCGGCCGCTTCTTTTTCGCTCCATCCCCTTTCCGTACCGGCTCCACCCCTTTGATTCTTCGTCTTCTTTTCTCCTCTCCTCTCCTCTTCACCCCTCCCCGTTTTGTTTCTCTACTCTGTGAGTTGGAGCGGCGAGCAGAGAGACCAGATATGCGTTGTTCGGCGTATAGGTACCTTGAAAACGGGTTTCGAAAGTCCCACCGCGGCGGGCGACGCGAGTCGAATTCTCCCTCACCTTCTCGGGGAATTCGCCTACCTCGATAGAAACTTTCCCGCCACCGCGTCTAACATCCTGCGTTCGCATAGACAGGACGGAAAAGTCGGAAAGATAAACCGTATCGGTGAAAGCGTCCGCAGGTAGATGTAATGGAACGAAACTGTCAACCATTAGCGAAGCACGACGTTGTTGCGGACGCCCAAATATGGCTGACACGACGCGACGGTGAATGGGTTAACCACGTTGATGCAGGTACACCGTACGAGGCAGGTATTCGGTAGTGAAAAATGTTAGGTTAGCACGGTGAATCGTGCTCGCGGCTATTCTTCTCTATCGGGTCCGGCGAGGTCGGCACCTTCTACTTTCGCGTTTGTACACGCGTGAATAGAGTACGCGTGCTGCATACTGGTACATACGAGCGACTGTGCGCGTCCGTGCGCAAAACTATTCGTATCCATCAGCCGGGTATCCGTCTCTCTATTCTACGTGGCAGGACACGGGTTCCGATTCATCCTCGCGCAAGCCTTCCATTATCCATCCTAACTGGCAACCGAGGATCATTAAGCCGCCGGAGCCTTTTGTCCGACTGTGTGCGTCCGCCTCTAACGACGAACAAGGAGGGCACGTTCGTTCCATCTTTTCTCTCTCTCGCCTCGTACGAATTTCGACGGCACTAGGGAAAATTTGTCGGAGGTATAGAGGAGCATAGGTGGACGGATGGACGGATGGAAGGGAGGTTCGCGTCTGTAAATGGGATCGGGGCTAGCTCGATCGAAAGGATCGCGTTTCTAGAGGTGGAAGATGCGCGCGGCATGGCGGCGCATCGCTCGGCCGGCCGGTACACATCGTGTATCGCGGTACAAAGTGATGACCGTAATGACTCTAACCACCGTCTGACATCTGGCATTAGGCACTCGAGCTTTTGAGTGGCAACGCCCGCAGCAATTGTTGCCGTTTACGACTGCCGTGCACGCTCTCCTCCTACCCTCCCTCTTTTCTCTCGCTCTTCTCCTCCTCTTCTCTCTCCACCTTGCTTCTCGCTCCTTCCCTCGCTCTTCCTTCGCCTCTCCGTCTGGCCGTGGTCTTTCTTCTTGTTTCTCTCCTCGCTCGTCCGCTCTCGATCCTACGCGCTATAGACCGCATTCCCGAGTGCAACGACGAGGCAGAGATATATGTATATGCATTCGCGTGCACCGGTCGCTGCAGCCACCGCGCGCTACATTGCGATCGCGGTTCTCCTCTGTACGACGCTCCTGCTCCTCTATAAACACCTTACTCTCTCGCCCTCTCGTAATCCATTTTCTTCTCTGTTCTAGAAGTCATAAGCGTCTCTCTCTCTCTCTCTCTCTCTTCTCCTTTTAATTGCCGTTCCACCGTGCGACGCGCGAGCACGCGAACCATACTCGCTGTAGAATGCAAATCCGGTATCGCGTGGAATCGCGGCTAGCAGATACGCTGGAAAACCGGCTGCTCGTCCCCGCCGAGCCGTTCTCCTCCGGCTTTCCATTTTTCTCCCGCCTAGCGTCCCGCGAAATTGTGCAACCGCCGGGCTGCGTACCTACGCGTTCTTTAACTCCGTTTCTGGAATAATCGAGAAAATGGTTCATTCCTCCGATCGCCGATCACCGACCACCATTAGAAAGTCCTCGACGTTCCTATCTTCCGTAGAATCGGCGTTGGTTCAATGGGATCAATAGGAGAGGAACGGAATCGTAGGTTAATTGTGTAATAACGGGAAACGGTATCGTACGAGGCGGGGAAATCTTGGTTATTTCCACGTAGCCAACGGAGCGGGAGAAATAAACCTCGGTTATCAAGTTTCTCCCGTGTCCCTGGATTACTCCGCACTCCGTACTCTTCTCCGCTCCGTTAGTGGGTGGTGAGCTACGAGACGATCGCGCGGCTCTTCGTCCTCGCGTTTCCGTCAAGTAGGCAGATCCTTGGCTGCAGCAGCAGCTACCTTACGGTGTTTCCTAGGTTAACAAGAACGGCCAGGCCAGCAGGAGCGATGACTGATCCGTGTCGCGGGTATGCGCGTGCTTGTACGCTGTTCCTCGATGCACGCGATCGCAAAATTGCGTAACCGTAGAAAACAAAGGAATTAAAGAGTAGGTAAGAGATCGTGCAGTTTTCTTTCTCGAGCCATCGGCCGTGATTAATTCTCTACGATTAACTCGAAAATTCTTTCAACGGAGACGCGACGATTTGTAAAAAGGTCGGCATGCGTGCGTACGTACGCGCGCGTGTTTGTGTGCGAGCGGGGAAAGCTTACGTTACGTTAGCGTCTGTACACACGCGATCGGCGAGATGCGGGGCCACCTTTCCCATCGTCGTCTCCACTCTCCGCAATTATTGCGCATCGCGTTGGATTACCACGACGATTAACGCGACTTTCCATCTACTCGAGGATTTTCGCAAATCCAACCCGTTATTTCTGCCCGCTCTCTCGTCTCGGAGAGGACGCGATAATACCGCGTGATACGCGTGCAACGTTTAACCAGCCGACGAATTAATAGGACGTTATCTTGCAGCGTTTTAGAGTCGCGAGAAATGTTGCTTTCTCCGGCGATGACTGGTTTTTCCCCTACGGAACTATCCGAAGAAGGGGGAGAGGAGGTACGCGTCGCATAACTGCACACGCAGCTTTTGATTGTCGATTCAGAGAGCGATATCGGCGACGACGATTCTGTACCTTGGATTTCGTGCTGCATGCCAAAGCGTGTAGAGCCTTGCTGGGCGTATAAGGAACGACTGATTGAACTTTACTCGGGGATCGTTATCGAAATTCTTTGGCCTCTCGACCGCGTCTACGCAACTGGAATTTCTCCTCCTCCCCACTTTCTCCTCGAACGAGGATTGCCAGACTGCTGTTCTAATTTGTCCCCCTCCGCGACGCATCGCGACGGTGGAAAGAAGTTAAAGCCGAGCTTAAGTGCGTACACTTATAGGTGTGTAGGCACCTATGTACATGCATCGAGGCGTCGGGAGAGAAAGCGAATGCTCGGTAGGCAGATCGGTGCCAGCTATAA